GGGGGGTGGGGATCATCAGTTCTTGCAGCTTCTCTGTAGTGAAGACAGATTTAATTTAGGAAAATTGAACTGTGGAAACTACGGTGGATGCCCAGTGATGTTGAAGTGTTCAGGAGATTCCCCAAAGGTAAACAAGACTTTTTTGACTGTATTCCCAAAGAGAATTTGAACTATATAAAAACATTTGTTCTAGCCAGCTGTGGTGGTTCACGCCTGTAATCCCAGCACTTGGGAGGCAGAGGCAGAAGGATTTCAAGTTCTAGGCTAGCCTGGGCAATTTAGTGAGAACTTTTCTTAAAATAAAACAATAAAAAAGATCAGAGCTGTAGCTCTGTGGCAGAGCACTTGCTTAGTGTGCACAACGCCCTAGGTTCCATCCCAAGCAATTAAAAAAAAAATCATTCAGAACTAACACTAGAACTTCTAGATCCAATATTGGATCTTCTAGACTGTCATTTCCTTGTGAATTTTTTTTGTAACCCAAAATATTTCAGGTGACTTTCCAAGCCACAGTAAAGTCCAAAGCTGTGTGGACAACAGTGTCACTCCCCTTTTAGCTGGGGATTGGGGGGAGGGAGCATCTCTAATCCTAGGCAGCGGCGCCACCTACTGTCCAGCTGGGAAATTGCCTTTCGTGCAGGTGCCCAGCGTTGGACACAGCGTTTACAGCTACTGCTTGTACAATGTTACACACACAAAAGGACGTGCAGGCTGCATGGCCTTAGAGAGCGGATCAAGGTTAGTCCGGGCCACCCACAATGCCACTTTATTCCGTCTTCATTCCCAAAGAATATTTCCACTGGATCCAGAAACATCCCAAAGAATATTTCCACTGGATCCAGAACTCTGGATTGACAGTTCTTTACAAAATGCAGTGCCACTTCCTTTTGGCCCTCACGGTTTCTGATGAGAAACCTGCTGCCATGTGGGTTACTGTTCCCATAAGGGCACAGTTGGTTTCTCCTCTGGATGCTTTTCAAGTCTTTTTTCTTTTGTTGTTGGTTTTCCGCAGTTTAGCGGTGTGTCTGGGCGTGGGTTTTTTTGGAAAGGGTCTCTGGCATTGTGTGGTGAGTTGTGTGTATATGTGTGTTTTCTGAGGGACACTGTAGCTTTGATTCAGGTCATGCAACTTCCACTGCATTTTCTTTTTTTTTGGCGGGGGGCGGGGGGTTAGGACTGGGGTTTCAACTCAGGGCTTCACGCCTGCAAACCAAGCTCTCTACCGCTTGAGCCACACCTCCGGTCTGTTTTGCTCTGGTTATTTTGGAGAGTGGAGATGGTGTCTTGTGAACTATTTGCCTGGTCTGGCCTTGAACCTTGATGCTCCCAATCTCAGTCTGCCAAGTAGCTAGGATTACAACCATGAACCACGAGTGCCTGGCTTCTTTATTTTTAAAAAAAAATTATTATTGTTGTACTGGGAGTACATTATGATATTTACAAAAGTTCTTACAACATATCATAGTTGAATTCACCCCCTCTGTCATTCTCCTTTATTCCCCCTCCCCCCATTCCTGGAACCGTTTCAACAGATTCTTCATTTTTTGAGACAGGGTCTTGGCGTGCAGCCCAGGCTGGCCTCAAACTCGTGATCCTGCTGTGTGGAATTACAGGTGTGCACCACCACACCTAGTTTCACCTTATTTTCAGAGGTATCTGAGGCTCTGTGGCCATCAGCAATCAGTGACTTCTGTCGAGTGTTTGAGGTTAGGGACACCTGAGCAGGCTTGGTCAGTTACTGCATTCTGAAAGGAGTTTAAACTTCTCTGGAATTATTTGTCCACTTGTGCAGTCCTGTTCACTTGACTGGAACTTCCTTGCAGGTGGGGAGCGGGAGAGTTAAAGGTCATAGGGTTGAGGAGGACACCAGTCACTCCAAAGGGCCTCAGGAGTACAGCACAATGGTTAAGTACATGGGCTTTGGCTGGGCACGGTGGCACACACCTGTAATCCCAGCACTTGGGATGCAGAGGCAAGAGGATATCATATTCAAGGTCAGCCTGGGCTACAAAGTGAGAACTTGTCTCATAAAAACAAGGGCTGAGGATGTCACTCAGTGCTAGAGTACTTACCTAGCATGAGCAAGACCCCGGGTTCTATCCTCGGCAAAAACAAATAAACAGACAAAAACAAAGCAGAAACAAGACATGGGCTTTGATGTGGGATGTGGGTCTGGATCTCCTCTCTGCTCTTTGGGAGCTGTGTGGCTGGGACTGCCCTTACCCTGATGACCTGCCTGTGTGTCACAAGAATGACAAAGCCCACTTAATCTGGATTCAATAAAGCCTGCGATGTGGGGTCTCACACATTCATTCACAAAGTGTGTGCTGAGTGCCTACTGTGTTCCAGGCACTGTTGTATGCTTTGTGCGTTTGATGGCAAATGAAGCAGACAGAACACTTGCCCTGTGCCAGTGGCTCACGCCTGTAATCCCAGCTACTTGGGAGGCTGAGATCGGGAGGATCATGGTTCGGCCAGCCTGGGCAAATAGTTCTTGAGACCCATCTCCAAAATAACCAGAGAAAAATGGACTGGGGTGTGGCTCAAGCAGTGGAATGCCTGCTTTGCAAGTGTGAAGCCCTGAGTTCAAACCCAAGTGGGTCTCACCAAAAAAAAAAAAAAAAAAAAAAGACAAAAATCCCCCCAAAACCTTGGTCCCCAATGGGAGTGCACCAAATTACAAAGGTTTTGCACATCAAAGGGTACAGTTACCAGGGTGAAGAGACAGCCTACAGAATGGAAGGAAACCTTTACCAGCTATACATCTGAGACAAGGATTAATAGACAGCATATATCAAGAGCTCAAACAACTAAACATCAAAAGTACAAATCACCCAATCAATTAAAGGATAAATGAATTAAACAGACAATTCTCAAAGAAGAAGTACAAATGGCTAATGAATGAATCCATGAAGAATCCTTAACCATAAAAGAAATACAAATCAAACGACAGTAAGATTCCATCCTACCCTAGCTGACATCAAGGAAACAGCAAGAACAAGTGCTGGCGAGGATGTGGGGGAAAACGAACCCCTATACACTGTTGTTAAATTAGTGTAGCCACTATGGAAATCAGGATGGAGGTTCCTCAAAAAGAGAACTACCGTATGATCCCTCGATACCCCTCCTGTGTGTACCTGAGGGAGTGTAAGTGAGCATACAGCAGAGACACCTGCACACCACGTTTACTGCAGTGCTGTTCACAATGCCCAAGTCATGGAATCAGCCCAGGTGCCCATAAACTGAAGAATGGACAAAGAAAATGTGTTATGTATGCACAATAGAGTATTATTCAGCCATAACCAATGAGAGCATGTCATTTGCAGGAAAATGGATGGAACTGGAGTTCATCTTGTTAAATGAAATAAACCAGTTCTAGGAAGAAAAATAAGGATTTTAAAAAATGCATGAAAGGTAGAAGGGAGTCTATTAGGGAAGAGGAGGGGGAAGGGGGGACAAGACAGAGTAATGAAGGGGTGAATATGACAAATTGCCTTGCACGCACGATGAAAATGTCATAATGAAACTCATTAAAATGTACAAAAAAAGAATTAAAAACAAAAAAGAAAAAACATTCCCTGTCTGCACGCACCTGACATTGGGGGGAGGCCGACAATCAATAAACACACCAGGTGGCACAGAATATGTCAGATGACAATATTTTGGAGATAAATACACCAGAGGTGTGAGCAAGGAGGTCCTGGGGTGCCCAGCGGGTGGATGTCCTACTTCAGGGTGCTCAGAGGAGGGCTCACCTGCGTGAGAACCTGAGCGAGGGGAGTGAGGAAGCCACGTGGATATTTTGGAAAGAGTTTGGGCAGAGAGAAAAGCAAGTGCAAAGGTCCTGAGGCAGAGGCTGGGCTGTGAGTGTTCATAGACCAGCGGAGAGGCCAGTGTGGCTGGAGTGGATGGAGCTGGGGGCAGTGGGAGATTGGGCAGAGCATTGGATCATGTTGGGGCCTCGTGGGCCACCACAGGATGTTGGCTTTCACTCTGAGTGACACAGGAGTAGAGGAAGGACATAAGCCAGCTTAGGTAGTTACTGGAGCTCCAGAGAGGGAGTGAGAGGATGACTGTGATGGTTCAGGTGGAAGTGGTGCTGTGCTGGCAGGGAGATTTGAAGACTGGGCCCAGGATTTGTCTTTAAGTTCTCTCTCTCTGTCTCTGTCTCTCTGTCTCTCTCTCTGTGTCTCTCCCTCTCCCCCTCCCTCCTTTCTTTCTTTTCAGTACTGGGGATGAAACCCAGGGCCCCCCACATACTAGGCAAGTGCTCTACCACTGAACTGTACCCCCAGCTCTTTATTTTGAGATAGGGCTCACTCTGTAGCCCCAGGCTGAACTCAAACTCATGACCTTCCTGCCTCAGCCTCCCCAGTGCTGGGATTATAGGTGTGAACCACCATGCCCAGTCCATGATTCCTTTTTGTTTTGACCAACAGCTCTCATCTACTGAACATGCTCAGATGTCCCCCTCCTCCAGGAAGTCCTCCCTGTCATCTGGTCCCCAGACTAGGCCAGGCTTCTCTGGGGTTTCCCAGCCCTGCCCTGTGTGTGTCCTACTATCTGACCCCAGAGCCTTAGTCTCCCATGAGAATCTGCATGACACACAAGCTGTCATCTGTAGGCTGTTCATGGTGATTTTGGCAACAGGCCTGGTTTTACTAAGCTCTGAGTAATGGCTGTCACGATTTTTATTGTTGTCATTGCTGATGGCCTTAACAGTCTTAGTTCCTGGTCCTCAGGGTTCCTGGAATTTCTTCTGTCTGTTAGGTAGAGAAGAAAAGTGAGCCAGGGCGGGGGTGCAGTAAGGGGGTGAAGGGCAAGATGAGGACAAAGTTCCTTCCCTTCCCCCGCCATTCTGTCAGCTGTCATCATAGAGAGGTTGCCACAGGGCAGGAGGGAAGAGCCCAGGGCTGGCGGGTGGCTGGAGTTGGGCCCGAGCCTGCATGTGAACCTTGGAGACCAACGGCCTGGCACTCTGAGGCCTGGCGCTAGGACCCATGGGGCCTGCTGACCTATGGTGCCATCGGTGGACAGGCATCCTGCTGTCAGGTGAGAGCCCTGCTTCCTGCAGACGGCTGGGCTGGAGGGGCTGTGTGTGCCCAGTTGTCTCTGTGTGCATGTGCGTGTTTGCAGAAAGAGACAGGCAGAGGCAGACAGAGACAGATAAAGACACTGATAAAGACAGATCAAGAAGGATCACAAAAGGAGACAAAAGCAGGCCAGGGAGAAAGAGGCAAAAATACAGAGAGAGAGAGAGAGAGAGAGAGAGAGAGAGAGAGAGAGAGAGAGAGAGAAAGAGAAAGAAACTGTATCAAGGGGAAACAGAGATGGGTAGGAGACAGAGAGAAAACTATACAGGGACAAAAAGAAAGAAAGACAGAGGGAGGAAGGAGGGAGAGACAGAGAGAGTCAGAGAGAAAGATAGGTGGGGAAAGAACTGGGGCATAACAGAGACAGAAGGACAGACAGTGAAGCAGGCAGAGGGAGGATGTCCAAGCCTGAGTGGCCCAAGCATCAGGACAGGGAATGGATGTGAAATTCTTCACTAAAAAACACCTGAGACAAGGCTGAGTGTGGTAGCATACATCTGTAATCCCATCTACTTAGGAAGCAGAGGCAGGAGAATCATGTGTTTAAGGCCAGCCTGAAACTGGGTGCTGAGGGCTCACGTCTGTAATCCTATCAACTCAGAAGGCAGAGATCAGGAGCATCAAGGTTCAAAGTCAGCCTGGGCAAATGGCTAGCAAGACCTTATCGTAAAACCCATCGAAAAAAGGGCTGGTGGAGAGGCTCAAGTGACAGAGTGCCTGCCTGACAAGTCTAAGGCCCTGAGTTTAAACCCCAGTTGTGTCCAAAAAAAAAAAAAAGCTAGCCTGAGCAAAAAGTTAGTGAGACTGTCTGAAAAATGAAAAAGGATGGGGGGCATGGCTCAAGTGGTAGAGCACCTGCCTAGCAAGCGCAAGGCCCTGGGTTCCACCCCACCAGTGAAAAAAGGGCAAAAACCCTGAACCCACAACAAAAAGGAGAAGCCAGAATATTTTGACAAGAAAAGCATTTGGAGGTAGGAAACGGTTTGGAAGTGGGTCCCGGGCAGAGGCGAGGCCTCAGCCAGCCTTGCTGGGCTGGGTTCCCCTCTCTGGCTGGAGCATCCTGCCTGCCTGGGTGGCCATGCAAACTTGGGATCCTCTTGGGGTGCTCAGAGTTCCCAGCCGTGTCTGTGGGTTTGTCTCCTCCTGGGAGGACAGTCAGGACCTTTCTAGAAGGAAGGAGCGGGAGGCAAATGCTTCCTGTCCCAGCAGGTCTGGCCAAGAGGCAGGCCTGGGGATGGAACCCAAGGCCTTGCACTTGCTAGGCAGACACTCTACCCCTTGAGCCATGCCCCCAGCCCTTTTAACTGTAACTTTTCAGATAGGGTCTCTCCTCCATTTCCCCAGAGGGCAATGGCCTTGAACCACGATCTTCCTACCTGTTCTTCCCGAGGAGCTGGGATTACAGGCGTGGTCCACTGTGCACCACCACTTGTTTTTCTGAGATAGGGTCTTGTGACCTTTTTGCCCAGCCTGGGATTACAGGCAGGAAGCGCTGCTTCTGGGCCCCAAACTGAGGTCTTTGGCGAGTGGAGAGGGGCCTGGTGGCAACCTCTGTAAGTTGAGCTCACAGGAAGGTGAGAGGCGTCAAGACTGTACCTGAGCATGGCTGTGGGCTTGGGTCCCCACCTACCCGGGCCCAGCATCTCTTCCAGCCTCTGTGACTGTGTGTGCAGAATGACCATATGGTGAACCAGGAACTTCTGTGACTTTGTCCCTTCTCTTTCCTGTCTCAAGCAAGGGCTGTCCCAATATCAAGTCCAAGGAAGTATCAAAGATAAATTCTCCCATCAGAGGTAACAGTAGACGCTCCCATTTATCAGGGGTTGGCTCTGTGCCTGTTTCTGTGTTGGAGGTAGAATCACAGGGTGTTAACAGCTCAGCCTTCAAGGACTGGCAGGCCAAGTTCAAGTTTAACTTCTGCATTTAGGAGATGGTCTTGGGAAGTGACTTCACCTGTCTGGGCACCTATTTCTCTCTGTGAAATGAGGGGAACCCTCATGCATCTCAAAAGAGTAAGAATGGTTGACAAGGACACGGTGACCATTGTGGAGCGGGTTGTAAAGCTTGCCAATATGTCAGCGCCCTGCCAGAACCCTGGGGTGCAGGTGATGTAAAGGCCATCTTACAACTCAGCAAATCAAGGCTCAGAGAAGATAAATACATGCCAAAACTCACACAGTCAGTAAATGATAGTTAGGAAACGCCTCTAGGAGCTGGGTGTGGTGACAGACACCTGTAATCCTAGCTAATTGGGAGGCAGAGACAGGAGGCTCATGAGTTTGAGGTCAGCCTGGGCAAAGTTAGCAAGACCATATCTTGGAAAAAAAAGAAAAAAAAAAAAGCAAAGGGCTGGGGTCGTGGCTCAAGTGGTAGAGGGCTTACCTAGTAAAGTGGCCCTGGGTTCAATCCTCAGTACTACACACAAAAAAGAAAAAAACACAGCCTCTAGGGATAGAAGGACACATTTGCGACCTTAGGACTGGGCGCCAGTGGCTCACATCTGTAATCCTAGCTACTTTGGAGGCTGAGATTGGGAGGATCAAATTTCAAGGCCAGCCCTGGGCAAATAGTTTGAGAGACCCCCCCCACCTCCAAAATAACCAGAGCAAAATGGACTGGAGGTGTGGCTCAAGTAGTAGAGCACCTGCTTTGCAAGCACAGAGCCCTGCGTTCAAATCTCAGTCCCACCGCCCCCACCAAAAAAAAAAAAACAAAACAAAAACCCAAAAACCCAGACCACCCTGGCCTCCATTCCACCTCTCTCTCCCTGAACACCTCCTCTCTTCCCTTCCAGCCTCACTTCTGACCACATGCAGTCCTCCAGCCTCTGCCCAGGCCACCTCCAGTGCCACCCAAACGGAGAAGGATGTTGTTCTCGGTTTGGAGACCCCCTGGACAACCCAGCTTCACGGTAGATGCAGAGGCGTGGGCACAGACCCCAAGGCTGTCTTTCTGATCTGTCTTCACCGACATCGCTCCTCTGGGTTTCACCCCCTCCCCAAGGGGATGAATCTGATTGGTCCAGCTAGGGGCTGTCAACGACTGGTCCAATCACTGGTCTTGGGGGCGGGGCTAGAGGGATGGACGGGGGATATGCCAAGCCCCAGGCAGGGAGTGATGGCTGAGAAGTGGATAGGGGCTTCTTGTTGGCGTCCTTAAGAGCTTTCCCCTCTCTGCAGCCGGTACTGAGGGAGCCATTCTGGTGTCCCAGTCTCTCACACTGTCCTGTGGGGCGTGGAGACGGGGAGGAAGTTGCCCTGCCTAGAACCAGCAGGTCTGGCATTTGAGGCCAGCCAGTGCAGCTCCAGGGTGTCATCTGGTCCATCCAGTCCCTTCCTGCCCCTTTCGGTCCCTCTGTGGCCGTGTCTTGCTCTTCCTCTGGCTGTGTTTCTGCCTATGTCTCCCCCTCTTGCTTTCATCCTATACAGAACCGCTGGCCAAGCCCACCATTTCAGTGAACCAGGACACGGTCATAGAGCATAGGGGCATGGTGACCTTCACCTGTAGCACCGCGGACGTCAATGTCACCATCCACTGGGTCTTCAACAGTCTCCCACTTGTGTTTAATGAGCGCATGCTGCTGTCTGAGGATAACAAGACTCTCACCATCCTCACTGTCCAGCGGGAGGACGCTGGGTCTTACCAGTGTGAAGTGTGGAGTACCCTTGAGGTCCAGAGTAGTGACCTCACCTTCCTGCATGTGAACTGTGAGTCTTTCCCTTCTCCCAGCCCCTCACCCACACTCACTTCCTTGCATTTGATCCACAGCCTGAGTGGGCAGGGGAGAAATACAGCATTACTGACTTCCTGAGGCCCTGTAAGAGGAGTTGTTGCTGACGATATGGTCACTGCCATGATTGTTCCTGTCCTCCCAGCTGGTCCTGACTCCGTTGAAATCAAGCTGGTGTCGGGTGTACCCAATGGGGAGGTGGTTGAGGTACTGGAGGGCGCCACCATGAACGTCCAGGTGGAAACGCAGTCTCGCCCCCACGCACACCTGGTATCTCCCAGTGACTCGATCTCACCTCCTACCACGAACACGAGCACGCTAACTGTCCAAGGCGTGTCCAAGGAGCATGAGGGCATGTACAGGTGCCTGGTATCCAACAACATCACCCAGCTGTCTCTCCTGGGTGCGCTTGAAGTTCGAGTCCTTGGTGAGGCTCCTTTGCTGGCTTCTGTCCTTTTTCCTCTGCATACCAGGGGCTGATGGTATCAGAAGGGACTGAGAAATTAATCTGAGCCTTTTGGATATTCTGTGGGCCTGGATGGATATGGGGTTGCACGTGGGATGTCTGTGCTGTGTTCCAGACAGAGGAACAAAGGTTGTCATTAGAGTCTCAAGGAAGCTGGCTCAGGATAAAGTAAGAGCCACATAGCACCCAGGGTTTGAGGAGGAACTGGGAGAGTGGGGATTTCCTACTAGGCTGGTGGCCGAGCAGGGCTTCGACCTCAGGGAGGAACCCAACTCCCATCTTGGCACGTCCTGCACAAGACCCTATTGTCTCCTCATGGCTGGCTGGATTTGATTGTCTGGAAGTGAGGAGGTTGATTTTCTACACTGACAAACACTCCATCCACTCAGGGCCACACACACAAATAATATCCACACACACAGCACAACACATGTATGGAACACATGCAGCTCACATACAATGCATAGGTATAAGATACAATACCAGACGTGATACACTCTCACACAACACAAATACATGTAACATGCACACGATGGACATATGAAACACACTCAACACAAAGTATATGACACATCAAAGACAGCAACACATACATATACTAGACACACAAACCTGCAACTCACACAGGTTGCACAGTAAGAATCAATACACAGAATCACTCACACAGTAAGAATCAATACACAGATTCTTAACACACATGACACACACAAACAAGGCGTATTTCACATACATGTATGCAATAAACAATACCATAGACACATGACACACTCTCAGCTAAAACACATGCCCACAACAGACACACAACACATACACATCACAGACACTCGACATCCACCCAACATTGGAACCACTCAACAGCTCAGATACTTAAGACACATGATACAGAAGCCAGGCATGGTGGTACACGCCTGTAATCCCAGCTACTTGGGAAATGGAGGCAGAAGAATCGTGAGTTTGAGGCCAACCTCAGCAAACCTAGTGAGACCCTATCTCAAAAATAAATACAAAGGGTCAGGGGCATAGCACAGTGGTAGAGAACTTACCTGGTATGCACAAGGCCCCGGATTGGGTCCTCAGTAATCTCCCCCCCAAAAAAAACATATAACAAGGAAAATGCATTGCATACTGTGCATTCAGCACCCTCAGTGCATCTATATCTACCTATCTATCTATCTACCTATCTATCTGCCTACCTATCCACTTATCTATCTATCATCTATCTATCTGTTAATCTATCTATCATTTATCTATCTACCTATCTATTTATCATCTATCATCTATCCAACTGACAAAATGTACACACACACCGTACACACAACACAATTATATACAAAGCGTGTACACACAATATACAGTTCATAATACAACATATATAATATCAGACATAGAACATGCACTTGTATGCAGAAAATATATACATGTAACACACACACCTCACATTTGCAGCACACATACCACATACAGCAGGCACAAAGTACGTGCTCACACACACAAGATATACATACAACGTACTCTCCACCATACAAAACCCGTAACATAGTCAGTCACACAGTCATCACACAACCACTCACTTACCACAAGAGAAGCACCTTACAGAACTAGCTCTTAAGCACTCACACACTCCACTCGCAATACACACAATACACACTCCACTCACAATACACACTCTACTCACAATACACAGACACATCACTCACAATACACCCAGACACACCTGGAAAACGCTTTTGGCCCTACACAGGCAGAACACTGAGGAAGGGTCCTTGAACTTGACCCTGGATCTCCATGTGTTTCCAGAATTACTGACCCCACCTCAAGTGAGGCCCCCGAGTCTGCATCTCATGGAAAACGCAAGCTCTGTGTCCCTGACCTGCCAAACCAGCCACAAGTGGGTCAGCATCCAGTGGTTTGTGGGTGATCAGCCCCTCCTTCCCAGTGAGCACCTGGCACTGTCCAGCGACAACAAGACGCTGGTCATCCATGGCCTCCGGCGGGACGACACAGGGCCCTATAAGTGTGAGATATGGCACAGGGGCAGCCAAGCTCGGAGTGACCCCCTCAGGCTGAACATCAGCTGTGAGTCACCAGAGTCTGGACTTTCTCCTGTCTCTCTTCTCTTTAAGCTTTTTCCTTCTTGTCTTTCATTTTGTCATTGATCTGTGCCAGGTGTGAATTTGGGGACTGGCCAAGGCCAAGTACTGGCCCTCACACAGCTTGTGTTCTGGTGTGGCACACAGATGTAAGCAGGGGTGAGCCAGGCAGGTGGCCAAAGAATGGAAGTCAGGGGGGACGGAATGGCAGAAGAGGTGGAGCTGTGTCTAGTGTGTGGGAGGAAACATCAGGAGGCCTGGTGATCAGAGAAGAGGGAATTATGGGGACAGTGGAAGGATAAAAGAGTTAGAAGTCATTTAGGGGGCTGAGGGCCAGGTCACACAAAGCCCTCTGGGCCAGGAGAGCATGGGAGCCACAGATGGTTCTAAGTAGAAGAGAGTCAGAACCACACAGGTTTTCACTGGATCTCATGGCAAGGATGGAAGTAGGAGAGAAGCAGGGGGCTGTAAGACAGGAGTTGTGTTCATCTGGGTCGCTGGAGATGCGGATCCAGGATAGGATTAATGGGATTATACCTGAGAAGATTTTATTTTGGGAACTGCTCCCGTGTAACTAACCAGGGAGGCAGATGTGGAAGGTTTGGGAGCTGTCAGACTGAGCCACAAGTGAAAAGGAGAGGAAAGGAAGGGTGGACAGGAGTGTCTGGATGGCCATGTAGTCTAAGACACATATGAAGGCTGTCAGCACCTCCTGTATCCCTCAGTAAGGATCTGCCTCAGTTTCCCCATTGTGTCAGGGTGTAGGTGCAGCCTGTGGGAGGGCTGGGGGTGGAATTCAGGACCTAGCAACTGAGTCTTTAGTTAATGATACTGCTGTCATTGGTGGTCTTCAAGGTGACTTCTCATGGTGGCCACCATTGTCCAGTGAGAGATGAGTCTGGGGCAAGGTGGTGGCTTGGAGGTGATGGCATGTGGTCAGATTGTGAATGTCTTTAGGATACACAACTCACAGCACATGCTGCTGTTTGACCTAAAAGAGGAAGAGAAGGGTCCAGAATGACTTCCAAGGCCTTTTGCCTGAGCTACACAAAGGATATAGGACCAGGAACCAAGATGGAGAAGATGCAAAGAAGTGGTTTTGTAGGGGGACAAAATATAGGACCACTTTATCCTTAGGTAACAGGGGCTTATGGGGACAGGGCTTAAGTTCTCTTTCTCCTCTTCCCTCCCTCCCTCTGTCCTCCTTCTCTCTTTCCTCCCTCCTCCCTTGTTTTCTCCTCCCTCTCTCCTTCCTCCTGCTCTCCTTCCTCTCTGTTCCCTCCCTTCCTCCTCTCTCCACTTCCTTCTCTCACTCCTCCCTCTTTCCTACCTCTCCTCTCTCTCTCTCTCTCTCTCTCTCTCTCGCTCTCTCTGAGACAGGGTCTTGTTATGTCGCCCAGGCTGGCCTCAAACTCTCCATCTTCCTGCCTCAGCCTCCCAAGTCTGGGATTACAGGTGTGTGTCATAATTCCTGTATACTTTTCTCTTTTTTTCCACTTTTCTGTTGCTCTCTCCCCTTCCCTTTCTTCCTTAGACATGAAACCCCGGGCATTTATTTTGTGTTCTCCCTCTGCTGAGTAACATGTTGGGCAGTTGAGGACCATAGCGGTGATTTTCAGTGCTCACAGCTTGCTGAGGTTAGGGACATCAAAACTCAGGTGTGTTAGTTTTGTTGTTGTTGTTGTGCAAATACCCAAGAGAATAATTTAAAAGGAGGGATGGGTGTGGTGGCTCATGTCTATAATCCTAGCTACTCGATTGGAAGGATTGAGATTCAAGGTCAGCCTGGGGAAAAAATTCTTAAGACCTTATCTTAACCAAAAAACAAGTCTGGGCATGGTGGTGGGTGCCTGTCATCCCAGCTACAAGAGAAGTGTAACTAGGAGTATTGTGTTCCAGGCATAAATGCAAGACTCTATTTAAAAAGTAATGAAAGCAAAAAGGGCTGGTGGTGTGGTTCAAATGATAGAGCGCTTGCCTAGCAAGCGGGAGGCTCCAACTTCACACCTCCATACTACCAAAAAAAAGAAAAAAAAAGGGGGAAAGATTTATTTGGCTCAGCGTCCTGTCAGTGGTCTTCTGAGCAGTGCCAGAGTCACCATTTAACTCTGCTTACAGCATTCTCCAAACATTGCCAAATTCCTCCCCCAAGCCACTCCCAAAGGCTTCTGAGTCACGCAGTCGGGTAGCAGTCACAGCAAGGACCCCACTTCTGGTACCAATTTTCTGTCTTTGTCAGTTTTTTTGGGCACTGTGACAAAATGCCTGACAGAACTACTTCGAAGGAGGAAATGTTAATTTGAGTTCAGTTTCAGAGGTTTCAGCCCACGCTCAGCTGACTCCAGGTTTCTGGGCCTATGGTGAGGTAGAGCATCATGGCAGAAGGACATGGGGAAGGAAAGCTGCTCACCTTGTGGCCCCCGGGAAGTAGAGAAGGGGCAGGAAGGGGCGGGGCTAATATATGCCCTTCAAAGCCACGCCCCTGTGACGTACTTCCTGCATCCAGGCCCCACCTTCCACATGCCTACCACCTTCCAATAGTCTATTCGAATTCTGAATCCAGGCTGGTGTCGTGGCTCAAGTACCTGCCTAGCAAGCTTGTGGCTCTGGGTTCAAATCCCAGTTCCACCAAAAAAAAAAAATTCTGAATCCATCAATGAATTAAGTGATTGATTAGGCCAGAGCCTCATGATCTAATCATCTCTGGAAACCCCCTCATAGAAACACCCAGAAGTGTGTTTCCTAATCTCCTAGGTGTCTCTCAATCCACTCCAGTTGACAGTCAAGGTTACATATGAGAGTACGATAAATGTTGCCGTAGTGAAAGGAGATGTGGGAGCCCATAGGGAGCCCCGGTCCCGAGAGCATGGGGATACTTATCGGGAAGGGTCATGGCCACCATAAAATGCTAAGGGTGAGTAGGATAAGGTTAGGGAAGAACGTTCCAGAAGCAAGAGAGGGGTGTGCGATGGCTCTGAGGCAAGACAGAGTGTGACAAAGCTGGAATATCCTGGGAGCGTCTTGTCCGGATTAAGAGTAGGAAATGTGGAAAGGTCTGGGAAGTGGGATTGTGTGGTCACCTGTAATTTACCAGGGTCAGGTTGTAGATGACCTCATTGACCCTGGGCTTTGTCCCAAGGACACTAGCTATGGAGGGTTCCACACAGAGGAGGGAATAGTGACAAGTGTGTTCTTGGACAGACTCTTCGGGCTGCTGTGTGGAGGATGGGACAGTTCCCAGTCACTGAAAGAAGACGTGGCTCTCACACTCTTTTCGTTTGGGTGGGAAGTCTAACAGCTACTTTCATTTGTTTCCTTCAGTTACGTGGGAGGAGAACAGAGGGCCACTGATTCTCTTCTGGAATTACAAAGTTTATGGCATTGAGAGCACACGGTGTTAGACAATTTCTGAAGCCTGGTGTCCTCTGTGACGTCTTTGTTTGAATTCACTTTTGCAAACACAGAGTTTTTGTCCCTATAGTGTGGACCACACGCTCTTGGGCAGCTCAGAGCCAAAGGGAACACTTTCATTTTCTCCTGCCGCGATTCCTTTCACCTGTAGTTGGAAGAGCCTTTGTTGGTGGGTGTGGTGGTGCACATCTGTAATCCCAGTACTTGCAAGGCTGAGGCAGGAGGATTGTGAGTTCGAGCCTAGTTGGGGCTGTGAGACCCTGTCTCAAAACCAAACCAAACCAAACCAGGAAGAGCCTTTGTTTTTCAGGATGAAAACTGGAATTCCTTTAGCTCGAATTGAGAGCAAAGTTTCCAGGGTGGAAGCAGAAGGGGCAGAATGGGTAACTTGCCAATGGAGACCAGGGTGGCTAATGTTTGGCTGTGCATACAGATGGCCCTGACCGAGTGAGCATCACCAGTGGGACGGCAACCACAGTTGTCAGCACCATCAAGGCGAGGTTCAACTCCAACCTGACCCTGCATTGTTGGGCCGAATCTGAGCCAGGCTGTGAGTATAACTGGACCCTGGAGGCCTTCCCCTGGGTGCATGTGGGATCACAGCTGACCATTGATGTCCTGAGCTGGGAACACGAGGGGAACTACAACTGCACAGCCTTCAACGCCGTCACCAGCCTGGCCCGCTCTGCCTCCGTCATGGTCAAGGTGGTGGGTGAGTGTCTCAGAAGGAAGCACCTTCCCCTGGGATCCAAGTGGCCTTTCCCTGTGTGACCCCCGCCACCTACTCTTCCCCTGTCACGGGCGAGAGTGTGACAGCAGATGTAGAGCATGGGTAGGTTCCCAGTCTAGAGGCATTGAATCCCAGATCTGAATGTGCAGGCCCTAAAACCTCCACTTCCTGCCTACTGTCTCCTGGCTGTTCTGTGCCTCAGTTTTCTTACCTGTCAATGGGGTTGGTGATGCTTACTTTTTTGTTTGTTTTGTTTTGTGAGAGTCTTGCTATATAGTCCAGACTGGCCTTGAACTCGCACTCCTCTTGCCTCAGCCTCCAGAGTGCTGGAACTACAGGCTGATAGAGTGTTCCCTACTCTATCAGCCAGTTAGGAGGGGAGCCAGTTGGTATCTCCATTGTACAGAGGAAAGCCTGAGATGCAGGGAGTTGAACCCAACATTTAGCAGTTGTCCACTAAGCTGAGGGCCCCATGCCGCTTCCAAGTTACCTCACTTAATCTCCGAAATAAGCTTCTTTTCTTGTGAGGATCATCTACATATGGAGGAGGAGGAGCAAGTTAGTGAGTTTGAGACTCACAGGGATGCTGTTGAGTTTGAATGAGATGGGGAATGAAGAGCTCTTGGTGCTTAGAGTATCTATCAGGCACCTACTTAGTGTCAGGCAATGCTCTGGTATTTTTATGCATGGTCCCATTTAGTCCCCTCAAAAAATTTAGGGTTAGGGTTAGGTTATCTTTGTTTGACATATGAAGAAATGGAAATTCAGGGCTGGTGTGTGGCTCAAGTAGTACGGTGCCTGCCTACTAATACCACTAAAAAGGAGAAGGAGAAGAAGAAAGGGAGCTTCTGAATAAAACTAACAACATCTGAGCATCCCAGGAAGTCTCCCCTGACTCTCCTAACAGCCTCTTTCTCATACCCCAGACCCTCATGGCCGCCCTGGTAATCCTGGTGGTTGAATTTCACTCCTTTGAGAAAGGTTCTGGTAGAAGTGTGATGAGCAAAACCAGGTGTAGTGGAGGCAGGAGGATTGTGAGTTCAAGGCCAGCCCAGGGAAAGTTAGCGATACCCTGACTAAAAAACAAAAGGCAAACAAAAGGACTGGGGGTATGGATCAGTGGTAGAGCCCCTGCCTAGCATGTGTGGGACCTTGGATTCCAATCCTAGTACAGGGAAGGGAAGGGAAGGAAGGGCAGGGCAGGGGCAAACATCAGGTCATTATTAATGCTAACTGCCACATATTAATCACCTTCTGTATGCCAAGAAGTGACATTCGTAATCTCACCTCATCTTTGTAACATCCTGTGAAGTGGTTACCATTTCCCTCAATCCGCAGAGGAGGGAATGAGGCTCTGGAATGAATTCACTTGTCTGGGGTCACCACGGCCTCCAAGAGTCGAGGGGCTCCATCCCAGGGAGAGCCAGGCTTCTGGTTCCTGAGGCCCTTTTGTCTGGCCCATGCCTCCTCTGTGGGAGGGGTGAAATTCACATCCCTGCTCCATCATCCTATCAGCAGGATGAATCACAGCAACTCTCCATGGCTCCAAACACTGTGAATGCATTGAATGTGAAGATGTATATGTTTGCTCTTTCCAGCAGCCCTGTAAAGTACGCACTACCATTCCCATTTTACAGAGGAGAAAACCAAAGCACAGAGTAGTGTGTGCAAAACCACACAGCTGAGACTTGAACACAGGTTCACTGAGTTCAGAAACGATCCCCTTCATAGCACCAGCTGCTCCACCCCCCCACCCAAATGACTGGCAAATTAGTTACTCTTAAAATATCAGCAGACAGACCACAAGCTTAGGAAAGGGACTGGGGACAAGGATGAGAGTGGGCCAGACCTCAGTCTTTTCCATTTTGGTGGCACTGGGGTTAGAACTCAGGGCTTCATGCTTGGTAGGCAGGTGCTCTACCACTTGAGCCACTCTGCAAGCCCTTTTTTGTGGTGAGTTTTTTCGAGATAGGGTCTCATGAACTATTTCCCCAGGCTGGCTTCAAACCACAGTCCTCCTGATCTCTGCCTTCTGAGTAGCTAGGAGTACAGGTGTGAACCACCGGCGCCCAGCAGGCCTGGGTCTTGATTCTTTCTCTTTACCCAGGTCCCGAGTCATCCTCCCTGTCTGCAGGGGTCATCGCTGGCATCATTGTTGGTATCCTGCTCGTCATTGTCATAGGACTGGGGTATTTCCTGTACACCAGGAGTGCCCTAAGGTAATGAGGGAAGAGGGGGAAGGAGTGGCCAGCAGGGGAGGGTTGCTGACCGTGGTGCTGAGCCGGGTCCCAGGCTCAGTGAGACCTGAGACTTCAGGGCTATCTTGGAGGTAGTGTCCAAGAATGGACACGGGGTATAGACAGAGCCTATGCAGGTGGGCACGCACTAGCTGTACAGAATAATGAGGGCTTTGGGATTTCAGGCCCTGCAGGAGCTCAACAGATATCCTTGTTCCTGAGGCCACACAACCCACCTCTGAGAGGAGGCCCCCCACAGAGTCCAGACCCAGTAAGTGACTCCACGGCTGATACTCCAGGCGGTGGTGAGGACTGGGGACCAGGCTGCTGCTGGGAACCCAGGCCCCTCCTCTCAGCTCTGTCCTGGGGTTACTGTTGGATCACGGGCAAGCCCTGCTCTCCCCAAGCCTCAGTGTCCACATCTGGAATACGGGTGATGTAGAGACAGGAGTTAGGAACACTGCAGGATAACATGAGGGCATTCTGCCCTTCCTTGGTCATGGGAAACCTTGTTAGTTGGTTGTTGTAGACAGAGCAGATAAATCACTACATTCCTTCCTGCTGAACCCAAACCCAGTCTCTTAATTTGTCCACGTGTCCTCTGCAGATGGATGGAAGGTGACTGAAAGTGAAATGAGACTTTTTTTTTTTTTTGCAGTACTGGGGTTTGAATTCAGGGCTTTGCATTGTGAAGCAGGAACTCTACTGCTTGAGCCGTGCCTGTAGCCCTTTGTGCCCTGGTTATTTTGCAGACAAGGTCTCACTTTTTGCCGGGACCACTATCCTCCTATTTTAGCTTCCCACTGTTGCTGGGATGACAGGTGTGCACCACCATGCACAGTTTTTTTCTGTCGAGATGGGGGTCTCCCCCTTTTTTTTTGCTGGAGCTGGCCTGGAACTACAATCCTTATAATCCAGCCTCCTGTATAACTGGGATGACAGGTGTGTGCCACCACACCCAGCTATTAGTTGACATGGAGTCTTGTGAATTCTCTGCTTAGGCTAGCCTCAAACCTTCATCCTCCCAATCTCAGCCTCCCAAGTAGCTAGGCACCTGGCTTCTTATTTTGTTTTTTTTCAGACAGGGGCTTCCTATGTAGCCTAGGCCTGGAGCTCGTGGTCTTCCCACCTTAGCTTCCTGAGTGCTGGGATTACAGATGTATGGCACTACACCTGTTGACAATGAGGCGTCTTTTCCATGTCTGGATCTTGGATTCTGAAGGAATGAGCCTCATGATTTGGAAGCCTCTCTTGAAATAATCCAATCCAGTTCCATTTTACAGAGAACAAAAAGCAAGACCAAGGGGTGTGTGTGTGTGTGGGATAAAGGGCTAAACCCATGCAGGGTTCGCAGGTCCCATGGCACATCTAACTGGCAGTATGACTTGGATTTCTTACCTCATCTGTGTCACCAAATAGATTTATTTAACCCAGAATTTGATTTCCAGGACGTTCTTAGGATAAGGTCACCAGAAATAAGATGGGAGAGTCTTGGGGTGGATAGGGGTCCAGGAAAACAGCCCCACCTCCAGTTCTCATCCTAATTCTAGCTCTGTGCTGGAATTCACTTTTCTTAGATAAGCCAAGGAGACCTGTGTATGACAATGTGTCTGAGGCCTGGGACCAGATTGGAGTCAAAAAGGTGGGTGAACTCCAGAGGGACCCCCCTGAAGCCCTGGCTTTCTGGTTCTTCTCCAGCCCCACAGAGCTGATCCAATCCTTCCCTCTAGGTTGAGGGGCTGGCACTATGGCTTGGGGAAATCTGGGGCAGCTGGGGTTCTCTGTGCCTCTCCTCCCCCTGGTTTCTACTGCTAGAGCTACTCCTCAAGTCCATTTTGCTCTGGTTATTTGGAGATGGGATCTTGTGACCTAGTTGCCAGGGTTGGCCTCGGACCTCCATTTTCCCAGTCTCAGTCTCCTAAGTAGCTGGGATTACAGGCATAAGCCACTGGTGGCTGGCTGGGAGATTTACCTACCTTTGAGGATGAAACTTTTTCTGAGCACATCTGAGGGTGTCTACCCCTCCCAAGACCTACGTCCACTTTACAACTTGATCTCCCTCTAGACACTGCCATCAGCACTCACAGAAGAGTCCTTTGAGGTATGTAGTCCCTCTGGATTGATGAAGAAGCTGTAGGGTAATTGCAGAGTAAAAATTTTATGTTTGACAAACCCAAGAAATTGCTCTTCATAGTGCATTGCCAGGTCAGGGAGGAGGGGACATGTCCCATGTTCACAGGAAGCCAGGTCAGACTCCAAGACTCTGTCTCCTGCTAGATTCTTTTGACCACTAATCTAGAGCTTATAATTGGATCCCAGTGAGGTGGCAATGGCCTGGCCATGCCAGGTGGGAAGGAAGCTGGGAGGAGAGGCTGCTGATGTAGCAGAAGTAAAGAGAGAGCTGCTGCCAGCTGCGGCTCTGGGTTTTCAGGTCTAATCCTTCTCTAAATCTGACTTTCTGCAGGGCCCTGGGTGACTCCCTTCCTCTCTCTGGGTCTTCAGGCAGTCTTTGACTGGGGTCACACCTTATTTCTCTGCTCACCTGCAGATGGAACCACCTTCAGCCCTTGGAGGTCACTTTTCTAGCCCTGGAAATCCAGCGCCAAACCCCCCGATGCGTCCACCGGTCCGCTCTGTTCCAGAAGACAATACAGAGACAGACTACGAGGTATTTTAGGCCATGCTGTCTTTAAGCAGATAGAAGGCTGTCCCCTGTGTGCCTTTATCCTGGCTGAAGTGTTTTTGATGATCTACCAACAAGTTCCCTAAATCATTTTGGTTGCATTCCATCCTGTCATTTTCTAGTGAATTTCACCCTGTTCCTTTAGGTCCCCTCATTGTACTTCATTCTATGTGCATCCAATTTGCTTTCACTCTGCCCACTTCTTTTCTGTCAATTTCACTTCCTTCCCTCAACTCCTCCTCATTTCCCCCTTCTCTCTCTCTCTCCCTCTCTCCAGTAGAAGGGGCTCTCTGATTCTCCTGTCTCAGCCTCCCAAGTGCTGGGATTACAGACATGCACCACTAAGCCCAGCTAAGAAAAATATTTTTAACAATAGAAGGAAATCACAGCTTAGGTAAAAAGTAAAACTATGCTGGACCTCCGTGGTATCTGTCCCCATCCCTCTTATTTGTCTTTGAGTTTCCTGGCAGCAAATGAAGAGCGATATGACGGTTAAATCACTTAAAAGCATGAAAACTATGAGTCCATCCAAGTGAACCAAAGTGCCAATAGCAAGCTCAGAGAATTAGGGATTAGTGGAACTCCTCCAGAGAACTCAGGCGACAGCATCCTGGTGTAAGGCTTGGCTGGATGACGCCAGGTCCAGTACTGGGCCTTTGGTTCTGTATTCTGAAGGTGCTAGTGACCAACCCAGGTTTTTCCAGAGGAGGCAGAAGATGGAGGCAGACCAAAGCTGGGTGTTGGTTCCAGGGACACTTTTATTGGGGTGGAAAGGGTAGGGTTTAGGGTCACAGAACTTTAGTTCTTTAGTGCTGCTTGATGTGCCGGCTTGAGTAGAGGACAGCTGTGTTCCCTGTTGTTCACTGGACAGTTCCTTAGCATGGGGATGAAGCAGAGGGTGGTGGTATTAGCGTAATCGACAGATGAACCATTCTCAAATCATGTGGATGTCCTGTATGTCTTGGTTAGGGATTTTAAAAAAGTTTTGGAGAGACTGGTATTTGAACTCAAGGCTTTGTACTTGCAGAGCAAGCGCTCTACTGCTTGAGCCACATCTCCAGCTCATTTTGCTCTGGTTATTTTGGAGATGGGGTCTTGCAAACTATTTGCTGAGCTGGCCTCAAACCCCAATCCTCACAGTTTCAGCCTTCCAAATAGCTAGGATTACAGTGCCAGGCTGAACTATAACTATCTTTGAGGCTGAAACTCTCTGAGAATATCTGGGGTGTCTGACCCCACTCCCAAGCACTATGACCTCTTTACAACTTGATCTGCCCCAGTGATGCTGTCAGAATTCACGGAACAGTTCTACCAGGCATGTGGTCCCTAACAATTTGATCAAGGGAGCTGTAGGGTAATTGCAGTCTGAGATTTTTATGTTTGATTTGCTCAGGAAATCACCCTTCATCGTGTATCCCAGCGTCAGGGAGGAGGGGAACAGGGCCTCAAAATCACAGGGAATCTTGATTCTTTGCACTTTGAATCTAGGGCTTATAATTGGATTCCCATGAGGTGGCAATGGCCTGGTCATGCCGAGTGTGAAGGAGGCTGGGAGGAGAGGCTGCTGATGTAGCAGAAGTAAAGAGAGAGCTCCTGCCAGCCACGGGTCTGGGTTCTAATCTTTCTCTATTTCTGATTCTCCATGAGATCTTGGGTAGATCCCTTCCTCTCTGTGGCTTTTCAAACAGTCTAAGATGTGGGTCACACCTTACCTCTCTGCCCACTTGCAGATGGAACCACCTCCAGCCTTCGGAGGCCACTTTTCTGGACCCAGAAATCCAGTGCCCAAACTCCAGATGCATCCACGTGTCCACTCTGTTCCAGAAGACAATACAGAGACAGAATACGAGGTATTTTATGCCATGCTGTCTTTAGGCAGATAGGCTCTGTGTGCCTTGTTCCCTGTTGAAGTCTTCATGATAAACTCCCAACAGAATTTCACTTAGAAGTCTTTTTCCCTCCATTTCATCCATTTTCATCCTGTTATTTTCTGCATAAATCTACCCATCCCTTTACAGTCCATGCCTGTACTTCACTCCATGTCCTATGAATTGATTTTCACTCCCTCCACTTGTTTTCCCTCAAGTTCTCTTCCTCATCCCTCTCTCATTCTCTCTATCTCTCTTCCCTTTCTCTTTCCCCTTCCTCCTCCTCTGCCTCCTTCTTCTTATCTCTCTCCCCTCGCCCTACATCCTGAGTACCGGGATTAAAGACACACACCACCTAGCCCAGGTAACATAAGTTTTTTACTATGCATTTTTAAAATTAGGATATATTCCTTATGTGGGAGGATTCAAAATGACACTTTGATTGGGCTTACACTGTACATTGGTCACATCACTTACATTTTCCTCCCCTCAGCCCCTCTCCACCCTACTTAAAACAATTGCAAGAGGTTTCTTTGTTCTCTTTCCTATAAGTGTATAAAGTCCATTGACCTTATATCCTCACCTTAATCCCTTTCATTTACCCTCCCCTTTCCACTGTTACCCCCAAACACTATACCTACTTACAGTCCTGTCTTTCATTATTAATATTGAAGGTGATGTTCAAAGTGGTTTCTCAATATATTCCCACTGTGGATATTCTTCACTTTGGTCTGTTCAACCCCTTCCGTCACTCTCCCTTACCTCTTTACCTCCTATCTCCATTTTTCAACAGCTTTCGATACACATGCTTATATCCTCTATCTTCACCTCTTATGGTATGCCATATTACCTATGCTCTATCATTCTTTTTTTCTTGCCCTCTTTCTGAGTTCCATAGAGTAATTTCACTGTTACAAACGTGTTCTCCATCTGAGTTTGTACATGATCATGCTAGGTTTTGCATACATTTTACCTTTTGAATCTATCCTCCATGTGTGAGAGAAAACATGTGGCTTTGTGTTTCTGTTCCTGGCTTACTTCACTTAACATGATGTCCTCCAATTGCATCCATTTACCTCAACCACATCGTTATTCCTATGGCTGAGTAATACTCCAGGGTGTGTATACGTACCACATTTTCTTGATCCATTCATCAGTTGTAGGTCATCTGAGTTGTTTCCAAAGCTTGGCTGTTGTAAATACTGGCTGCGATGGACATTGGTGTACAGGTGTCTCTGTTGTGTCCTGAGTCTCATTCTTTTGGGTAGATGCCCAGGAGCATCTACCCAATGAACTGGATGATATGGCAGCTCTAACTTTACGTTTTGAGGAATCTCAATACTGCTGTCCATAGTGGTTGTGCTAATTACATTCCCACCAGCAGTGTATAGGGTTCTTGCTGGCATCCTCGCCAGCATTTGTCATTGTCGTATGCCTTGACTGTGGCCATTCTCACTTTGGTGAGATGAAATCTTAGTGCAGTTTTGATTTGCATCTCTTTTATAACCAGGGAAGTCGAACACTTCTTCATGTATTTACTGGCCATTTGTACGTCTTCCTTTGAGAATTCCCTGTTTACTTCATGTGTCCCTTTCTTCATTGGGATTCTGATTCTTTGGTGGCTGAGTTTTTTGTTTCCTGTAGATTCTGTTTATTAGTCCCTGATTAGATGCATCACTGGCAAAGATTTTCTACCATTCTCTGCTGTCTCTTGAGTCTGGTGATTGTTTCCTTTGCTGGGCAGAAGATCTTTAGTTTGATGCAGTCCCATTTGTTCATTGTTTCTCTAGATGCTGAGCCTTTTGAATTCTACTTAGGAATCATTCCCTATACAGATCTGTTCCAGTGTAATTCCTACTGCTTCCTGGAGTTGTCTCAAAGTTTCTGTCTTATATTAAGGTCTTTGATCCACTTTGAGTTGATTTTGGTACAGGGTGAAAGACAGAAATCTACTTTCAGTCTTATACATGTGGCTATCCAGTTTTCCCAGCAATAGTTGTTGAATATTCTATCTCTTCTCCATTGTGTGTTTGAGCTCCTTTGTCGAAGATCTGTTGGCTGTAGCTGTGTGGGTTTATGTTGGGATCTTCTGTTCTGATCCAAATTCTTCCTGTCAGTTTTTGTGCCAATACCATACTATTGTTTTTTGTTATGGCTCTGTGGTATAGCTTGAAGTCAGGCATTGTGGTGCCTCCGTCATTGGACTTCTTGCTCACAATTGTTTAGGTATTCGAGGTCTTTTGTGTTGCCATATGTATTACAAGATTGATTTTTCTATCTGTGCAGAATGTCATTGGAATTTTGATAGGGATCGTGTTGAACATGTAGATTGCTTTTGGTAGTATGGCCATTTTCACAATGTTGATTCTACCAATCCACGAGCTTGGAAGGTCTTTCCATCTTCTGAAGTCGTCTTCAATATCTCTTTTCAGTGGTGTATAATTTTTATTAAATGTCTTGGGTTTCTTTCGCTAAATTTATTCAAAGGTACTTTATGGTTTTGATGATATTGTAAATGGGATTGTTTCCCTGATTTCTTTCTCATTCTGTTCTTTGTTGATATATAGGAAGGCTACTGATTTCTGCGTGCTATTTTTTATCCTACTACATTGCCAAGAGTTTATGATCTGTGGAGTGGGTCTGAATATTCTCTATTTCTGATACTCTGCAAGGTCCTCGGTGACTCCCTTCCTCTCTCTGGGTCTCTCACCTGATTTCTCTGCCCACCTGCAGATGGAACCACCTTCAGCCCCCGGAGGCCAGTCTTTTGGCCCCAGAAATCCAGTGCCGAAACCCCCAATGCGTCCACCGGTCCGCTCTGTTCCAGAAGACAATACAGAGGCAGAGTACGAGGTATTTTATGCCATGCTGTCTTTAGGCAGATAGAAGGCTGTCCCCTGTGTGCCTTTTTCTTTGCTGAAGTCTTTATGATGCTCTACCAACAGAATTTCCCTTAAAAATAATTGCAGTTGCATTCCATCCTGTCATTTTCTAGTGAATTTCACCCCATTCCTTTAGGTCCCCTCATTGTACTTCATTCTATGTGCATCCAATTTGCTTTCACTCTGCCCACTTCTTTTCTGTCAATTTCACTTCCTTCCCTCAACTCCTCCTCATTTCCCCCTTCTCTCTCTCTCTCCCTCTCTCCAGTAGAAGGGGCTCTCTGATTCTCCTGCCTCAGCCTCCCAAGTGCTGGGATTACAGGCATGCACCACTAAGCCCAGCTAAGAAAAATATTTTTAACAATAGAAGGAAATCACAGCTTAGGTAAAAAGTAAAACTATGCTGGACCTCCGTGGTATCTGTCCCCATCCCTCTTATTTGTCTTTGAGTTTCCTGGCAGCAAATGAAGAGCGATATGACGGTTAAATCACTTAAAAGCATGAAAACTATGAGTCCATCCAAGTGAACCAAAGTGCCAATAGCAAGCTCAGAGAATTAGGGATTAGTGGAACTCCTCCAGAGAACTCAGGCGACAGCATCCTGGTGTAAGGCTTGGCTGGATGACGCCAGGTCCAGTACTGGGCCTTTGGTTCTGTATTCTGAAGGTGCTAGTGACCAACCCAGGTTTTTCCAGAGGAGGCAGAAGATGGAGGCAGACCAAAGCTGGGTGTTGGTTCCAGGGACACTTTTATTGGGGTGGAAAGGGTAGGGTTTAGGGTCACAGAACTTTAGTTCTTTAGTGCTGCTTGATGTGCCAGCTTGAGTAGAGGACAGCTGTGTTCCCTGTTGTTCACTGGACAGTTCCTTAGCATGGGGATGACGCAGAGGGTGGTGGTATTAGCGTAATCGACAGATGAACCATTCTCAAATCATGTGGATGTCCTGTATGTCTTGGTTAGGGATTTAAAAAGAAAATATGGAGAGACTGGTATTTGAACTCAAGGCTTTGCACTTGCAGAGCAGGCGCTCTACTGCTTGAGCCACATCTCCAGCTCATTTTGCTCTGGTTATTTTGGAGATGGGGTCTTGCAAACTATTTGCTGAGCTGGCTTCAAACCTCAATCCTCACAGTTTCAGCCTCCCAAATACTAGGATTACAGGTGTGAGCCACCAGTGCCAGGCTGAACTATAACTATCTTTGAGGCTGAAACTCTCTGAGAATATCTGGGGTGTCTGACCCCACTCCCAAGCACTATGACCTCTTTACAACTTGATCTGCCCCAGTGATGCTGTCAGAATTCACGGAACAGTTCTACCAGGCATGTGGTCCCTAACAATTTGATCAAGGGAGCTGTAGGGTAATTGCAGTCTGAGATTTTTATGTTTGATTTGCTCAGGAAATCACCCTTCATCGTGTATCCCAGTGTCAGGGACGAGGGGAACAATGCTCCATAATCACAAGGGTTAGGGTCAGACTCTTACTAATTCTTTTTACTTTGAATCTAGGGCTTATAATTGGATTCCCATGAGGTGGCAATGGCCTGGTCATGCCGAGTGTGAAGGAGGCTGGGAGGAGAGGCTGCTGATGTAGCAGAAGTAGAGAGAGAGCTCCTGCCAGCCACGGGTCTGGGTTCTAATCTTTCTTTATTTCTGATTCTCCATGAGACCCTGGGTAGATCCCTTCCTCTCTGTGGCTTTTCAGGCAGTCTAAGACTTCGGTCACACATGTTTTCTCTGCCCACTTGCAGATGGAACCACCTTCAGCCTTCGGAGGCCACATTTCTGGCCCCAGAAATCCAGCGCCCAAACTCCAGATGCATCCACCTGTCCGCTCTGTTCCAGAAGACAACACAGAAACAGAATACGAGGTATTTTATGCCATGCTGTCTTTAGGCAGATAGGCTTTGTGTGCCTTGTTTCCTGCTGAAGTCTTCATGATAAACTCCCAAGAGAATTTTCCTTAGAAGTCTTTTCCCTCCATTTCATCCATTTTCATCTTGTTATTTTCTGCTTAAATCCACCCATCCCTTTACAGTCCATGCCTGTACTTCACTCCATGTCCTATGAATTGATTTTCACTCCCTCCACTTGTTTTCCCTCAAGTTCTCTTCCTCATCCCTCTCTCATTCTCTTCCCTTTCTCTTTCCCCTTCCTCCTCCTCTGCCTCCTTCTTCTTATCTCTCTCCCCTCGCCCTACCTCCTGAGTACTGGGATTAAAGGCACACACCACCTTGCCCAGGTAACAAAAGTTTTATACCATGCATTTTTAAAATTAGGATATATTCCTTATGTGGGAGGATTCAAAGTGACACTTTGATTGGGCTTACACTGTACATCGATCACATCACTTACATTGTTCTCCCCTTAGCCCCTCTCCACCCTACTTAAAACAATTGCAAGAGGTTTCTTTGTTCTCTTTCCTATAAGTGTATAAAGTCCATTGACCTTGTATCCTCACCTTAATCTCTTTCATTTACCCTCCCTCTTCCACTGTTACCCCCAAACACTATACCTACTTACAGTCCTGTCTTTCATTATTAATATTTAAGGTGATGTTCAAAGTGGTTTCTCAATATATTCCCACTGTGGATATTCTTCACTTTGGTCTGTTCAGCCCCTTGCATCGCTCTCCCTTACCCCTTTACCTCCTGCCCCTATTTTTTAACAGCTTTCAGTATACATATTTATATCCTCTATCTTCACATCTTGTGGTATGCCATATTACCTATGCTCTAACATTCTCTTTTTTCTTTCCCTCTTTCCCCGAGTTCGATAGAGTAATTTCACTGTTACAAACATGTTCTCCATCTGAGTTTGTACATGATCATGCTCGCTTTTGTGTACATTTTTATCTTTTGGATCTATTTTTCCTGTATGGGAAAAAGCATGCAGCGTTTGTGTTTCTGAGCCTGGCTTACTTCACCTAACATGGTATCCCCAGTTGCATCCATTTACCTTCAAAGCATGTCGTTATTCCTATGGCTGAGTAATACTCCAGGGTGTGTGTTTGTACCACATTTTCTTCATCCATTCATCAGTTGTAGGGCATCTGGGTTGTTTCCAAGTTTGGCTGTGATGAACACTGCTGTGGTGAACATTGGTGTACAGGTGTCTCTATTGAATCCTGACTCTTGTTCTTTTGAGTAGATGCCCAGGAGTGATATCACTGGATCATAGGGCAGTTCTAACTTTAGCTTTTTGAGGAAATCTCCATAGTGGTTGTGCTAATTTACATTCCCACCAGCATTGTATAGGGTTCTTGCTGGCATCCTTGCCAGCATTTCTCATTGTCATATGCCTTAACTATGGCCATTTTAACAGGGGTGAGGTGAAATCTTAGTGCAGTTTTGATTTGTGTCTCTTTTATAACATGGGAAGTTGCACAGTTCTTCATGTATTTACTGGCCATCTGTACCTCTTCCTTTGAGAATGCCCTGTTGAATTCATGTGCCCATTTCTTCATTGGGGTGCTGATTCTTTGGTGGCTAGTTTTTTGATTCCTGTAGGTTCTGGATTTTAGTTCCTTATCAGATGAGTCACTGGCAGAGATTTTCTCCCATTCTGTGGGCTGTCTCTTGAGTCTGGTGATTGTTTCCTTTTGCTGGGCAGAAGCTCTTTAGTTTGATGCAGTTCCATTTGTTCATTGTTTCTCTTAGATGCTGAGCCTTTTGAGTTCTACTTAGGAAGTCATTCCCTATATCTATATGTTCCAGTGTAATTCCTACTGCTTCCTGGAGTTGTTTCAAAATTTCAGTCTTTATATTAAGGTTTTTGATTCACTTTGAGTTGATTTTGGTACAGGGTGAAAGACAGGAATCTACTTTCAGTCTTATACATGTGGATATCCAGTTTTCCGAGCAGCATTTGTTGAAGACGTTGTCTTTTCTACATAATGTGTTTTTTCTCCTTTGTCAAAGATCTGTTGGCTGTAGCTGTGTGGGTTTATGTCTGTTTTTTCTCTTCTGATCCATTAGTCTTCCTGTCAGTTTTTGTGCCAATGTCATGCTGTTTTTCTTGTTATGGCTCCGTTGTGTAGTTTGAAGTTGGGTATTGTGATGCCTCCAGCATTGAATTTTTTACTCAGAATTGCTTTAGCTATTCGAGGTCTTTTGTGTTTCCATATGTATTTCAAGATGATTTTTCTATTTGTGGACAGTATCATTGGAATTATGATAGGGGTTGTGTTAAACATGTAGATTGCTTTTGGTAGTATGGACATTTTCACAATGTTGATTCTATCAATCCACGAGCTTGGAAGGTCTTTCCATCTTCTGAAGTCATCTTCAATATCTGTTTTCAGTGGTGTATAATTTTTATTAAATGTCTTGGGTTTCTTTTGCTAAATTTATTCAAAGGTACTTTATGGTTTTGATGATATTGTAAATGGGATTGTTTCCCTGATTTCTTTCTCAGTCTGTCTTTGTTGATATATAGGAAGGCTACTGATTTCTGCGTGCTATTTTTTATCCTACTACATTGCCAAGAGTTTATGATCTGTGGAGTGGGTCTGAATATTCTCTATTTCTGATACTCTGCAAGGTCCTCGGTGACTCCCTTCCTCTCTCTGGGTCTCTCACCTGATTTCTCTGCCCACCTGCAGATGGAACCACCTTCAGCCCCCGGAGGCCAGTCTTTTGGCCCCAGAAATCCAGTGCCGAAACCCCCAATGCGTCCACCGGTCCGCTCTGTTCCAGAAGACAATACAGAGGCAGAGTACGAGGTATTTTATGCCATGCTGTCTTTAGGCAGATAGAAGGCTGTCCCCTGTGTGCCTTTTTCTTTGCTGAAGTCTTTATGATGCTCTACCAACAGAATTTCCCTTAAAAATAATTGCAGTTGCATTCTATCCTGTCATTTTCTAGTGAATTTCACCCTGTTCCTTTACCCACCTATTGTAATTCATTCTATGTTCATCCGATTTGCTTTCACTCTGCCCACTTCTTTTCTGTCAATTTCACTTCCTTCCTTCAACTCCTCCTCATTTCCCCCTTCTCTCTCTCTCTCCCTCTCTCCATTAGAAGGGTCTCTCTGATTCTCCTGCCTCAGCCTCCCACGTGCTGGGATTACAGACATGCACCACTAAGCCCAGCTAAGAAAAATATTTTTAACAATAGAAGGAAATCACAGCTTAGGTAAAAAGTAAAACTATGCTGGACCTCTGTGGTATCTGTCCCCATCCCTCTTATTTGTCTTTGAGTTTCCTGGCAGCAAATGAAGAGCGATATGACGGTTAAATCACTTAAAAGCATGAAAACTATGAGTCCATCCAAGTGAACCAAAGTGCCAATAGCAAGCTCAGAGAATTAGGGATTAGTGGAACTCCTCCAGAGAACTCAGGTGACAGCATCCTGGTGTAAGGCTTGGCTGGATGACGCCAGATCCAGTACTGGGCTTTTGGTTCTGTATTCTGAAGGAGCTAGTGACCAACCCAGGTTTTTCCAGAGGAGGCAGAAGATGGAGGCAGACCAAAGCTGGGTGTTGGTTCCAGGGACACTTTTATTGGGGTGGAAAGGGCAAGGTTTAGGGTCACAGAACTTTAGTTCTTTAGTGCTGCTTGATGTGCCGGCTTGAGTAGAGGACAGCTGTGTTCCCTGTTGTTCACTGGACAGTTCCTTAGCATGGGGACGACGCAGAGGGTGGTGGTATTAGCGTAATCGACAGATGAACCATTCTCAAATCATGTGGATGTCCTGTATGTCTTGGTTAGGGATTTAAAAAAAAATTTGGAGAGACTGGTATTTGAACTCAAGGCTTTGCACTTGCAGAGCAGGCGCTCTACTGCTTGAGCCACATCTCCAGCTCATTTTGCTCTGGTTATTTTGGAGATGGGGTCTTGCAAACTATTTGCTGAGCTGGCCTCAAACCTCAATCCTCACAGTTTCAGCCTCCCAAATACTAGGATTACAGGTGTGAGCCACCAGTACCAGGCTGAACTATAAGTATCTTTGAGGCTGAAACTCTCTGAGAATATCTGGGGTGTCTGACCCCACTCCCAAGCACTATGACCTCTTTACAACTTGATCTGCCCCAGTGATGCTGTCAGAATTCACGGAACAGTTCTACCAGGCATGTGGTCCCTAACAATTTGATCAAGGGAGCTGTAGGGTAATTGCAGTCTGAGATTTTTATGTTTGATTTGCTCTGGAAATCACAGGGGTTAGGGTCAGACTCTTTCTTGATTCTTTGCACTTTGAATCTAGGGCTTATAATTGGATTCCAGTGAGGTGGCAGTGCCTGGTCATGCCGAGTGTGAAGGAGGCTGGGAGGAGAGGCTGCTGATGTAGCAGAAGTAGAGAGAGAACTCCTGCCAGCCACGGGTCTGGGTTCTAATCCTTCTCTATTTCTGATTCTCCTTGAGATCCTGGGTAGATCCCCTTTTCTCTGTGGCTTTTCAGGAAGTCTAAGGCTTCGGTCACACCTGATTTCTCTGCCCACTTGCAGATGGAACCACCTTCAGCCTTCATAGGCCACTTATCTGGACCCAGAAATCCAGCGCCCAAACTCCAGATGCATCCACCAGTCCGCTCTGTTCCAGAAGACAACACAGAAACAGACTATGAGGTATTTTATGCCATGCTGTCTTTAGGCAGATAGAAGGCTGTCCCCTGTGTGCCTTTTTCTTTGCTGAAGTCTTTATGATGCTCTACCAACAGAATTTCCCTTAAAAATAATTGCAGTTGCATTCTATCCTGTCATTTTCTAGTGAATTTCTAGTGAATTTCACCCTGTTCCTTTACCCACCTATTGTAATTCATTATAGAATGAATTCATCAAATTTGCTTTCACTCTGCCCACTTCTTTTCTGTCAATTTCACTTCCTTCCTTCAACTCCTCCTCATTTCCCCCTTCTCTCTCTCTCTCCCTCTCTCCAGTAGAAGGGGCTCTCTGATTCTCCTGCCTCAGCCTCCCAAGTGCTGGGATTACAGGCATGCACCACTAAGCCCAGTTAAGAAAAATATTTTTAACAATAGAAGGAAATCACAGCTTAGGTAAAAAGTAAAACTATGCTGGACCTCCATGGTATCTGTCCCCATCCCTCTTATTTGTCTTTGAGTTTCCTGGCAGCAAATGAAGAGCGATATGACGGTTAAATCACTTAAAAGCATGAAAACTATGAGTCCATCCAAGTGAACCAAAGTGCCAATAGCAAGCTCAGAGAATTAGGGATTAGTGGAACTCCTCCAGAGAACTCAGGCGACAGCATCCTGGTGTAAGGCTTGGCTGGATGACGCCAGGTCCAGTACTGGGCCTTTGGTTCTGTATTCTGAAGGTGCTAGTGACCAACCCAGGTTTTTCCAGAGGAGGCAGAAGATGGAGGCAGACCAAAGCTGGGTGTTGGTTCCAGGGACACTTTTATTGGGGTGGAAAGGGCAAGGTTTAGGGTCACAGAACTTTAGTTCTTTAGTGCTGCTTGATGTGCCGGCTTGAGTAGAGGACAGCTGTGTTCCCTGTTGTTCACTGGACAGTTCCTTAGCATGGGGACGACGCAGAGGGTGGTGGTATTAGCGTAATTGACAGATGAACCATTCTCAAATCATGTGGATGTCCTGTATGTCTTGGTTAGGGATTTAAAAAGAAAATATGGAGAGACTGGTATTTGAACTCAAGGCTTTGCACTTGCAGAGCAGGCGCTCTACTGCTTGAGCCACATCTCCAGCTCATTTTGCTCTGGCTATTTTGGAGATGGGGTCTTGCAAACTATTTGCTGGGCTGGCCTCAAACCTCAATCCTCCCAGTCTCAGCCTCCCTAATAGCTAGATTTCAGGTGTGAGCCACCAGTGCCAGGCTGAACTATAAGTATCTTTGAGGCTGAAACTCTCTGAGAATATCTGGGGTGTCTGACCCCACTCCCAAGCACTATGACCTCTTTACAACTTGATCTGCCCCAGTGATGCTGTCAGAATTCACGGAACAGTTCTACCAGGCATGTGGTCCCTAACAATTTGATCAAGGGAGCTGTAGGGTAATTGCAGTCTGAGATTTTTATGTTTGATTTGCTCTGGAAATCACAGGGGTTAGGGTCAGACTCTTTCTTGATTCTTTGCACTTTGAATCTAGGGCTTATAATTGGATTCCAGTGAGGTGGCAGTGCCTGGTCATGCCGAGTGTGAAGGAGGCTGGGAGGAGAGGCTGCTGATGTAGCAGAAGTAAAGAGAGAGCTCCTGCCAGCCACGGGTCTGGGTTCTAATTCTTCTCTATTTCTGATTCTCCTTGAGATCCTGGGTAGATCCCCTTTTCTCTGTGGCTTTTCAGGAAGTCTAAGACTTCGGTCACACCTGATTTCTCTGCCCACTTGCAGATGGAACCACCTTCAGCCTTCATAGGCCACTTATCTGGACCCAGAAATCCAGCGCCCAAACTCCAGATGCATCCACCAGACCGCTCTGTTCCAGAAGACAACACAGAAACAGACTATGAGGTATTTTATGCCATGCTGTCTTTAGGCAGATAGGCTTTGTGTGCCTTGTTCCCTGCTGAAGTCTTCATGATAAACTCCCAAGAAATTTTCCTTAGAAGTCTTTTTCCCTCCATTTCATCTATTTTCATCTTGTTATTTTCTGCTTAAATCCACCCATCCCTTTACAGTCCATGCCCGTACTTCACTCCATGTCCTTTTAATTGATTTTCACTCCCTCCACTTGTTTTCCCTCAAGTTCTCTTCCTCGTCCCTCTCTCATTCTCTTCCCTTTCTCTTTCCCTTTCCTCTGCCTCTGCCTCCTTCTTCTTATCTCTCTCCCCTCGCCCTACCTCCTGAGTACTGGGATTAAAGGCACACACCACCTTGCCCAGGTAACAAAAGTTTTATACCATGCATTTTTAAAATTAGGATATATTCCTTATGTGGGAGGATTCAAAGTGACACTTTGATTGGGCTTACACTGTACATTGATCACATCACTTACATTGTTCTCCCCTTAGCCCCTCTCCACCCTACTTAAAACAATTGCAAGAGGTTTCTTTGTTCTCTTTCCTATAAGTGTATAAAGTCCATTGACCTTATATCTTCACCTTAATCCCTTTCATTTACCCTCCCTCTTCCACTGTTACCCCCCAACACTATACCTACTTACAGTCCTGTCTTTCATTATTAATATTTAAGGTGATGTTCAAAGTGGTTTCTCAATATATTCCCACTGTGGATATTCTTTACTTTGGTCTGTTCAACCCCTTCCATCGCTCTCCCTTACCTCTTTACCTCCTATCTCCATTTTTCAACAGCTTTCGATACACATGCTTATATCCTCTATGTTCACCTCTATGGTTTGCCATATTACCTATGCTCTAACATTCTTTTTTTCTTTCCCTCTTTCCGAGTTCCATAGAGTAATTTCACTGTTACAAACATGTTCTCCATCTGAGTTTGTACATGATCATGCTAGGTTTTGCATACATTTTACCTTTTGAATCTATCCTCCATGTGTGAGAGAAAACATGTGGCTTTGTGTTTCTGTTCCTGACTTACTTCACTTAACATGATGTCCTCCAATTGCATCCATTTACCTTCAAAGCACGTCGTTATTCCTATGGCTGAGTAATACTCCAGGTTGTGTATACATACCACAGTTTCTTGATCGATTCATCATTTGTAGGTCATCTGAGTTGTTTCCAAAGCTTGGCTGTTGTAAATACTGGCTGCGATGGACATTGGTGTTCAGGTGTCTCTGTTGTGTCCTGAGTCTCATTCTTTTGGGTAGATGCCCAGGAGCAATATCACTGGATGATATGGCAGTTCTAACTTTACCTTTTTGTGGAATCTCAATACTGCTCTCTGTAGTGGTTGTGCTAATTTACATTCCCACCAGCAGTGTATAGGGTTCTTGCTGGCATCCTCGCCAGCATTTGTCATTGTCATTGGCCTTGACTGTGGCCCTCTAACTGTGGTGAGATGAACTCTAAGAGCTGTTTTGATTTGCATCTCTTTTATAACCAGGGAAGTTGAACACTTCTTCGTGTATTTACCGGCCATTTGTACCTCTTCCTTTGCGAATCCCCTGTTGATTTCATGTGATCATTTTTTCATTGTGGTGCTGATTCTTTGGTGGCTGAGTGTTTTGAGTTTCCTTTAGATTCTTGATATTAATTCCTTATTAGATGAATAACTAGCAAAGATTTTCTTCCTTTCTGTCTGGTGATTCTTACCTTTGCTGGGCAGAAGCTCTTTAGTTTGGTGCAGTCCCATTTGTTCATTGTTTCTCTTAGATGCTGAGCCTTTTGAGTTTTACTTAGGAATCATTCTCTATACAAATCTTTTCCAATGTAATTCCTACTGCTTCCTGGAGTTCCAAAGTTTCTATCTTGTATTAAGGTCTTTGATCCACTTTGAGTTGATTTTGGTACAGGGTGAAAGACAGGAATCTACTTTCAGTCTTATACATGTGGATATCCAGTTTTCCCAGCAATATTTGTTGAATATTCTATCTCTTCTCCAATGTGTGTTTTTTCTCCTTTGTCGAAGATCTGTTGGCTGTAGCTGTGTGGGTTTATGTCGGGATCTTCTGTTCTGATCCATTAGTCTTCTTGTCAGTTTTTGTGCCAATACCGTACTATTTTTTTTGTTATGGCTCTGTGGTATAGTTTGAAGTCAGGTTTGTGATTCCTCCAGCATTGGACTTCTTGGTCAGAATTGTTTTGGTATTCGAGGTCTTTTGTGTTGCCATATGTATTTCAAGATTGATTTTTCTAACTGTGCAGAATGTCATTGGAATTTTGATAGGGATTGCAGTGAACGTGTAGATTGCTTTTGGAAGTATGGCCATTTTCACAATGTTTATTCTGCCAATCCATGAGCTTGGAAGGTCTTTCCATCTTCTGAAGTCGTCTTCAATATCTCTTTTCAGTGGTGTATAATTTTTATTAAATGTCTTGGGTTTCTTTTGCTTAATTTATTCCAAGGTACTTTATTGTTTTTGATGCTATTGTAAATGGAATTGTTTCCCTGATTTCTTTCTCACTCTGTTCTTAGTTAGTATATAGAAAGGCTACTGACTTCTGTATGTTAAATTTTTATCTTGCTACTTTGCCAAGAGTTTATGATCTGTGGGGCAGGTCCCAATCCTTCTCTACTTCTGATACTCTGCAAGGTCCTGGGTGACTCCCTTCCTTTCTCTGGGTCTCTCACCTGATTTCTCTGCCCACCTGCAGATGGAACCACCTTCAGCCCCCAGCAGCCATTCTTCTGGCCCCAGAAATCCAGCACCGAAACCCCTGATGCGTCCACCGGTCCACTCTGTTCCAGAAGACAATACAGAGACAGACTATGAGGTATTTTATGCCATGCTGTCTTTAGGCAGATAGACTCTGTGTGCCTTGTTCCCTGCTGAAGTCTTTATGATAAACTCCCAACAGAATTTCCCTTAGAAGTCTTTTTCCCTCATTTCGTCCCTTTCCTCCTGTTATTTTCTGCTTAATTCCACCCATCCCTTTACAGTCCATGCCTGTACTTTACTCCACATCCTATGAATTGATTTTCACTCCCTCCACTTCTTTTCCCTCAAGTTCTCTTCCTTGTCCTTCTCTCTTTCTGTCTCCATACTCCTTCTCTTCTCTCTCCCCTTCCTTCTTCTCCTCCTTCTTCTTATCTCTCTCCCCTCCCCCTGCCTCCTGAGTACTGGGATTAAGGGCACACACCACCTTGCCCAGCTAACAAAACTTTTTTAGTATACATTTTTAAAATTAGGATATATTCTGTATGTATGAGGATTCAAAGTAACACTTTGATTGGGCTTACACTGTACATTGATCACATCACTTACATTGTTCTCCCCTCAGCCCCTCTCCATCCCACTTAAAGCAATTGCAAGAAGTTTCTTTGTTCTCTTTCCTATCAGTGTACAAAGTCCATCGACCATATATCCTCACCTTAATCTCTTTCATTTACCCTCCTCCTTCCTTAGTACCCCCAAACACTATACCTACTTATAGTCCTGTCTTTCATTATTAATATTTAAGGTGATGTTCAAAGTAGTTACTCAATATATTCCCACTGTGGATATTCTTCACTTTGGTCTGTTCAACCCCTTCCATCGCTCTCCCTTACCCCTTTACCTCCTACCCATATTTTTCAACAGCTTTCAATACCCATCCTTATATCCTCTACCTTTACATCTTATGGTATGCCATATTACTGATGCTGTATCATTTTTTTTCTTTCGCCGAGTTCCATAGAGTAATTTTACTGTTACAAACATGTTCTCCATCTGAGTTTGTATATGATCATGCTAGTTTTTGTGTATATGTTTATCTTTTTGATCTATCTTCCATATGTGAGAGATAACATGTAGCCTTTGTGTTTCTGTTCCTGGCTTACTTCACTAACATGATGTCCTCGAATTGTATCCACTTATCTTCGAACCACGTCATTATTCCTTATGGCTGAATAAAACTCCATTGTGTATATGTACCACATTGTCTTGATCCATTCATCAGTTAGGGCATCTGGGTTGTTTACAAACTTTGGCTGTTGTGAATAGTGCTATGTTGAACATTGGTGTACAGGTGTCTCTGTTGTATCCTGACTCTCATTCTTTTGGGTGGATGCTCAAAAGGATCATAAGATCAAAGGATCATAGGATCACAGGATCATAGGACAGTTCTAACTTTAGCTTTTTGAGGAATCTCAATACTGCTCTCCATAATGGTAATACTAATTTACATTCCCACCAGCAGTGTATAAGGTTCTTGCTGGCATCCTCGCCAGCATTTGTCATTGTCATTGGCCTTGACTGTGGCCATTCTCACTTTGGTGAGATGAAATCTTAGTGCAGTTTTGATTGGCGTCTCTTTTATAACTAGGGTAGTTGAACACTTCTTCATGTATTTACTGGCTTTTTGTACCTCTTCCTTTGAGAATTTCCTGTTGAATTCTTTTGCCCATTTCTTCATTGGGGTGCTGATTCTTTTGTGGTTGAATTTTTTGTTTCCTGTAGGTTCTGGATCTAGTCCCTTATCAGATGAGTTACTGGCAAAGATTTTCTCCCATTCTGTGGGCTGTCTCTTGAGTCTGGTGATTGTTTCCTTTTGCTGGGCAGAAGCTCTTTAGTTTGATGCAGTTCCATTTGTTCATTGTTTCTCTTAGATGCTGAGCCTTTTGAGTTCTACTTAGGAATCATTCCCTATATCTATATGTTCCGGTGTAATTCCTACTGCTTCCTGGAGTTGTTTCAAAGTTTCAGTCTTTATATTAGGTTTTTTTATCCACTTTGAGTTGATTTTGGTACAGGGTGAAAGACAGGAATCTACTTTCAGCCTTATACATGAAGATATCCATTGTGTGTTTGTGCTCCTTTGTCAAAGATCTGTTGGCTGTAGCTGTGTGGGTTTATGTCTTGATCTTCTATTCTGATCCATTGGTCTTCCTGTCAGTTTTTGTGCCAATACCATGCTGTTTATATTGCTATGGCTCTGTGGTATAGTTTGAAGTCAGGTATTGTGATGCCTCCAGCATTGGACTTTTTGCCCAGAATTGGTTTGGCTATTTGAGGTCTTTTGTGTTTCCATATGTATTTGAAGATTGAGTTTTCTATTTCTGTGCAGGATGTCATTGGAATTTTGATAGGGATTGCAGTGAACATGTAGATTGCTTTTGGTAGTATAACCATTTTCACAATGTTGATTCTGCCAATCTGCAAGCATGGAAGGTCTTTGCATCTTCTGAAGTTGTCTTCAATATCTCTCTTCAGTGGTGTATAATTTTTATTAAAAATGTCTTGGGTTTCTTTTGCTTAATTTATTCCAAGGTACTTTATTGTTTTTGATGCTATTGTATATGGGATTGTTTTCCTGATTTCTTTCTCATTCTGTTCATTGTTGTTGTATAGAAAGGCTACTGATTTCTGTATGTTCATTTTTTATCCTGCTACTTTGCCAAAGCTTATGATCTGTGGGGTGGGTCCCAATCCTTCTCTAATCTGATTCTCTGCGAGGTCCTGGGTGACTTCTTTCCTCTGTGTAGGTCTCCAGGCAGTCTATGGGGGCTCTCACCTGATTTCTCTGCCCACCTGCAGATGGAACCACCTACAGCCCCGGGAGGCCACTCTTCTGGCCCTAGAAATCCTGTGCCCAAACCCCGGATGCGTCCACCGGTCCGCTCTGTTCCAGAAGACAATACAGAGGCAGAGTACGAGGTATTTTATGCCATGCTGAGTCTTTAGGCAGGTAGAAGGCTGTCCCTTGTTTGCCTTTTCCTCTGCTGAAGTCTTTATGATGCTGTACCAACAGAATTTTCCTATAAATCATTTCAGTTGCATTCCATCCTGTCATTTTTTGGTGAATTTACCCTGTTATTTTACCCACTCCTTTGTACTTCATTCTATGTGCATTGAATTTGCTTTCACTCCACCCACTTCTTTTCTGTCAATTTCACTCCCCATCTGTCTCACCTCTCTCTCTCCCCTCCCTTCATTTTCCCTCTCTCTCCCACCTCTGTACTTTAGACAGGGTCTCTCTATGTAGCCCAAGATGGCCTCAAACTCATGATTCGCCTGCCTCAGCCTCCAGAGTGCTGGGATTACAGGCATACAACACCATGCCTGGCTAAGAAAAATATTTTTTAAAATAGAAGGAGGTCAAGTTATAAGCAAACAGGTAAAAATATGCTGGATCTATGTGGTCTCTGTTCCGATACCTTATTTGTCTTTGAGCTTCCTGGAAGCAAATGAAGAGCAATATGTACAGTTAAACCACTTAAAAGCATGAAAACTATTAGTTCATCCAAGTCTAAACAAAAGTGCCAATAGCAAGCTCAGAGAATTAGGGATTAGTGGAACTCCTCCAGAGAACTCAGGCGACAGCATCCTGGTGTAAGGCTTGGCTGGATGACGCCAGGTCCAGTACTGGGCTTTCGGTCCTGTATTCTGAAGGTGTTGATGACCAACCCAGGTTTGTCCAGAGGAGGCAGAAGATGGAGCCAGACCAAAGCTCAGTGCCTGTCCCAGGGACACTTTTATTGGGTTTGGAAAAGCCAAGGTTTAGGGTCACAGAACTTTAATAATTTAGTGCTGTCTAAAATGTTTGCTTAACATAGAGGACTGCTGTGTTCCTTTTTTTTCAAGAAGGCGGATCACTTATCATGAGGATTGCTTAGAGAGTGGTGGACTTTAGCGTAATTGACAGATGAGCCATTCTCAAAAAGTGTGGATATACTATATATCTTGTTTAGGGTATTTTATTTTTTGATAAGGACTTTGCACTAGCAAAGTAGGTGCTCTACTGCTTGAGCCACATCTCCAGTTCATTTTATTCTGGTTATTTGGAGATAGGGTCTTGATAACTATTTGCTTGGACTGGCCTCAAATTGCCATCCTCCTGATCTCAGCCTCCCAAGTAGCTGGGATTACAGGTGTGATGCACCAGTGCCTGGCCTGGTCAGGGATTTTTAATACTATGAAAGATAAACTCTCTGAAGTAGTTTGAATAAAGTGGGAGTTACTGAGAGCACATTGAGGTCTGTCAGATAACTCAATTTCAGAAATTACTGCTGGGATTCACGGGGACTGGAAGGCTACCATGAAGCTTGTCTCTCTTATTGTCTCTTTCTTTGGCTAATCTATGAATTTGTTTCATTTTTCACAATCTGGATGGATTTCCTACGTACGTCTTCTGGTCATGGCTCCTCTATGACTTCCTACTATATTATAACATCTTCCTCTCTATGATTTAAGTGTCTCTAAGTTCAAGTCCTGCAGAGGAGAATTGAGTTGGGTCAGGGGATTGTGTAGATTGAGTTAGCTCTGCAATCAGCCATGAGTTTGTACAAACCTAGCTACTTAAATCACGCTCTTCTTCAGGGTCTAGGAGGGAAGCTGTATTTATTCACTATTATGTCTTCCCAAAAAGCTTCCTCATGTACATCTTTAGTGTCATTGAAAGGAAGGCTGAGAAAATGAGGTGTTGGGTTTCTCAGTCTCTTCAATAGAAGCAAGCAAGGGTGGAGCTATGGGGAGGAGTGGTAGGCCAGTCAACATGGTGTCTGCTACATTCCGGAAGGATGAAAGGAGAGAACCATGCCAAGGGCATGACATGGAGCATCCCAAGTTGAGGGTCACCAAAGAAAAAAAGCCCTGAGGTGGGTGTTCTAGGTATCAGTTGCTAGATAAATTATCATGGATGTACCACCTTAAGACAACATAATTTATCATCTCACAGTTTCTGTGCATCAGGAGCCCAGCACTGCTTAGAGGCATCTCCTGCAAGGCTGTCACCAGGTGTAGGTCAAGGCTGAGGTCTCATCCGAGGCTTGGCTGGGAGAGGATCCTCTTCCAAGTTCTTGGTTATTGGCAGTGTTCAGATCCTTGCAGGCTGTGATTGTGAGGGTCTCAGTTTCTTACTGACTGTCAGCTAGGGGCCACGCTTCATCTTTTGCCACGTGTCTTTTCTTTCTTTCATCTTGTTTTTCCTTCAAAGCCAAGGTGGAAATTATGATTGTAACAGAATCACAGTCCCATACATCCTTCCACCTTTGCCGTATCCTATTGGTTAGATGAAAGCCATAGGTTCTGTGCTCAGAAGAAGGGGATCTTATAAGGTCACCAATACCAGGAGGCGGGGGGACTATGGGCTACCTTAGAGTCTGTCTATCATAGTGGGGAAGTACGTGGGCCATTCTAGGATGGAGAAGTTCCAGCATGACTGAAGGGCAGTGAAAAAGGAGGAAGATCTTTGGAATTTCCAAAGAAATTCCAATAGGACAGGAGAGTGCCAGGCTGTGTAGGCCACAGACTCCAGCCGAGGAGAGCAGGAGGCGTCAAGCAGCAGGTGGAACTCACTTTTTCTTCTCTGCTTAACAGATGCCTGTGAATTCAGAGTCCAGCATGTACTGCCAAGTTAACCCCTCAGTCTAATGGAAGCACACGTTCCTCTCAAGAGGTTCCAGAGAAACCACGCTGAATCATGTGCTCAGTGACATTTACTGTGTACCTATGATAATCCAGCCACTCAGCTGCATCACCCTTGTAGACCTTGTGATGTTCTATTTTGGTGTGTTGGTCAGGCTCTACATCCTGGGTTCCACCAGCTTTTGATTCGTGCTTCTTGAAAAGCAGTAGAAATGGGTGATCTTACGTAACATGGTCACATACATCTGCTACTTTTGCTGAATCTTATTGGTTAGATGCAAGTCCAAGGTCAAGGGGAGGGAACAAACTACAGGCGTAAGTACCAGGAAGCGGGGATTATGGGAACTGCCTTAGAGTCTACCTGTCACAATTGGGAAGTATGTGAGCCATTCTAGGACCAGCATGACTGAAGTGCTCAACGGCTCTTGAACTGATATTAGAGGGCCAAGAGTTGGGACTCGGAGGCTGAGGACATCAGAGTTACAACTTGAAGATGACAAACAAGATCAATGGACATAGCAGCCAAGGAGACATATGAATCTGGGTCAGCTAGAGATGTACAGGGGACAGACATCTACAGGGATCAGACAGTGGCTTTTGAAATCAGGGTAGAGGATGAGTAACAAGTAACTCCTAAGAACTGTCTGGAGAGAAGTTGGGGTGAAGCCAGTGACCGAGTGTCCCAGGGGAGGGATGGGCATGACATTCTTATATTCCTGAGGGTCCCAGGGGAGGAGAGGGCACTGATGAGATTTGATGAAGGTAAAGATAGCAAGGAATCAGGGGTATTTCTGAAGTTTGTGGGTAGAGCAGCTGGATGGTTGGGATGGCACTTTCTGAAGCAGTAATTGGGGAGGAGGAGCAGGTTCGTGGTAGGGAGGAAAATGAAACATTTGTCTAGTCAGGTCTTCAAGAATTAATTGGAGGGGCTGGGCATGGTGGTGCATACCTGTAATTCCAGCTACTCAGGAGGCAGAGGTAGGAAGCTCATGGTCTGAGGTTGGCTTGGGCAAAGTTAGTGCAAGACCATATCTTAAAAACAAACTAAAAGCAAAAAGGACTGGGGTGAGGGGGTTGGCTCAAGTTGTAGAGCACCTGTCTAGCTAATGCAAGGCCCTGAGTGTAATTCTCAGTACCACAAATAAAAATAAATAAATAAGTAAATAAAGGAATCATTTGGAGAATCAAGTAGGCAACTGTTCATAAAAGTCTAGGTAGAGCAGGGCTGGTGATACACATTTGGGAGTTGTTGGGATTTACACTTATGGGGCTAGATAACCTCTTCTGTCAGGGGTCCCCATGGCCACCTCAATGACTTGATAGACTTTCATGACCCAGCTGTTACACTCATGGTTGCAATTTTATTTTTGTCTTGTTCTGGGAATTGAAACCAGGACCTCACACATGCTAGGCCAGCACTCTACCACTGAGCTACATCCCTAGTCTCCCCTCCTTTTCTTTTTCTTAGATTTTTGAAACAGAGTCTCTCTGTGTAGCCCAAGCTGTCCTTGAATTATCGATAATCCTGCTTCTGCCTCCCACGTGTGGGATTACAGGTGTGAACCACCACACCTGGCTATGATTAATTTTTTTCAACAACACAAAGACAGAGAAATCAGCAAAGGGAAGAGGAGGACATCATGTATGAGCTTCAGTGTTCGCCGAAGTGTTCAGTGGACTCACGTAGAAAGACCCCCAGCAATGATGTGTGATAGTGTGCAAAGTGTTGCCCACCAGAGTCACTCACTAAACCTGGATGTTCAGGGTTTTTATAGATGGTCAGTCCCATCTGCATATGCTCTGTGACTGATCTCAGGGGCACTGAAGCTCCAGACTCCCTAGTGGGAGGCCAGTGTCCCCCATAAATCACGTTGTTGTTATGCACGCTCTTGACAAACCAGAACAGTGTTGATCAAGGCCTTGGATGTGCAAAAACATTCCTATCAGATACAGCATGGCCAGAGTTCAGGCCCTGAGCTGCCAATGTTAGTCATGAACACAGGCTGTTCTTGAACATGTGTAGGTTTGAGCAATCCAGGCCTGCTTCATTAGTTCCAGAGAGAAGGAATGAAGACAGGGAGAATAGGGGCTAGCCGGGTGCAGTGGCTCACGCCTGTAATCCTACTTACTCAGGAGGCAGAGATCAGGAGGATTGAGGTTGGAAGTCAGCCCTGGACAAATAGTTCATGAGGCCCTTTCTTGAAAATACCCAACACAAAACAGGGCTGGTGGAGTGGCTCAGGTGGTAGAGCACTGTCTAGCCAGCATGAGGGCCTGAGATAAAACTGCAGTGCCACAAAAGGGCAGGGGGGCTGACCACTGAGACCAGGGTACCTACACATTTATAGGAGACATTAAAGGACTGAAGAAGGTAAGAGAGAAGCCAATAGTTCAAACTCCTGGAAACCAAGAAAGGGTTTCCAGAATGGGTTGCTCTTCTTGGAGCTGTCAGATTATAATATTGATAGTAATATTGATTCAGATTGTCGAGAGTTAATCACTAGAAATGATGGAGGACACTGTTCTTACAATCTTTAATGCTATGTGGAAGAATGCTGGTGTTCAAAGGACAGCATGGTAGAAATTCAGTATGTAGCAATGTTGGTTTTCTTGCCTTTGTGCACATGAAACCTGGTATCTCTGGTGATTCAGCATTTTCATAGTTTCTTGTACTAGTTTAGGTTGGTAAGGTCATAAATAGAAAAAAAATAGAATGTCAGAAACATCTGATTTGAGCCCTGGGCCATTCCCTCTTCCAAGCCAAGAAACATCCCCTTGTCTTCAGAATCCTAGATAACGTTCCCTCGCTGCTCTCTACTCTGAACTTTTTTTTTTTTGGCAGTACTGGGGATTGAACTCAGGCCTCATGTTTGCTGGGCAGATGTTCTACCACTTGAGCCACTCCACCAGCTCTGTGACTTTTACCTTTGTCTTCTAGTATTTACAGAAAGTGGATTGATGACTTTTTTGCCCTTCACCTAAATCTTGGCCAGTACTATCTCAGTGTTAGGCAGGCACAGTGGCTCACACTTATAATCCCAGCTTCTTGGGAGGTGGAGATGGGAGGATCACAGTTCAAGGCCAGCCTGACCAAAAAAGCCAGGCATGGTGGTCGATGGCTTCATCCCAGCTCTGAGGGAGGCGATAGGTAGGACTGCAGTTGTGGTCTGAGGCAGGCCCTGAGTAAAACATTGAGATCCTACATGAAAAATAAAGCAAAATGGGCTGCCTAGCACCTGCCTAGCAAGTTGGAGACCCTCAGCTCAAACTCCAGTACCATTAATCTCCCCCCAAAATACTACCTCAATGGGAAACTTGGGTCTTGGTCAACCCCAAACAGGTGCTATAGAAACTTCTGAGTGAATGGGTATCTTTCTAGAATGGGTTCTTGTTTCTTAGCGGTAGCTATTCTGCAGTCCCTATAATATTGAGGTTAAGCCAGGATTTGGAGGCCCCCAGAGGAGAAGGAAGGAAAGAAGGAGGGAGGGAAGGAAGGAGGAAGGAAGAAAGGAAGAAAAGAAGGAAGGGCCAAACAAAAGACTAAGTGAGCTGGGCTTGGTGGTGCATGCTCATAATTCCAGCACTCAATAGTCTGAGGAAGGAGGATCATGAGTTTAAGGACAGAGTCTCCCTATTTAACACAGGCTGTTAAATAGGGAGACTCTGTCTTAACCTCCTCCTCACTCCCTAAAAAGACAAAGTCAGTTTAAATTAAACATTACAAATGCTTTATTGTCTGAATATGTTAAAAGTAAAAAAGAAAAAACTAGTTGACAACAAAAACAAATGAAAAGAAAAAAACAGGAAGATGAGCAACAACAACAAAAAAATAAAAGCACCCTATCATGATTTTGTGGTATTTGTACACATAGATTTGACACCATGACAACACACCGAGCTCCAAGCATTTCTATTTGCAGTTTATGTCTATCAGTAAGATGGTTCTTTTTATGTCTTGCATTTATTTTACTCAGTTTTTTAATATGACTTTTGTTCTTTTTTTGTGAGCAAATATTTGTTTCCTGTCTTGTCTGCAAAACTGGTGTTGCTTACGTAGAAGAAAGATATCAATGGGTAGATGTGTTGGCTTTTTTTGCCGCTGTGTTGGATACCTGAGAGAACAACTTAAAAGGAGGAAAGGTTTTGGCTCAAAGTTCCAGAGGCTTCAGTCCATGGTGGGCTGGCTTCATTGCTGTGGGCCCCAGGACAGGCAAAGCATCATGGTGGGGAGCGTGTAGTGGATCGATCAGAGTTGCTGGCTCCATGGTGACCAGGAAGCAGGGAGGAGAGCCCACCTCTTGTCTCTAGTGGGCTTCCGCCTTGGTCCCCTTTTGTTCTATTCAGGCCCCATCTATTGGATGGTGCTGTTCACATGCAGGGCAGGTCCTCCCTTCTCCCCCAGTTAATCAGTTCTAGAAGATGCCTTCATGACACTTAGAAATGCACTTTAGTTACCTTCTAGGTGTCTCTCAATCCAGTCAGATTGAACATCAAGATTAACCATCACAGTGGATAAGGGCTAGATAATGTAAAATTAATTTAAGTGTAAAATCTAATGTAAAAGTATGGGCTCTGGAGTCAGATTTCCTGGATTCAATTACCAGCTGTACCCTAACAATACAGTATAGGTGCTTAACATCTGTAGGCTTAACAGAAATTTCATCTTTTGTAAAATATAAATGACAGTCCCATCTCATAAGATTAAATGAGAAAAAAAGTATATGTATGAACCTTACAACAGGGCCTGGCACTGAGTGCTACAGAAATGTCTGTTATTGTATGTTTAAGATTCAATGACTTTCTAAACTGTCTTTGATATTAGTTTCTTTTTTCTTTTTTGTGGTACTGGGGTTTGAACTCAGGGTCTTACTAGATAATGAAAAGTTCTCTAGAGAAAAAAAAAAGATGGGGAGGGAGGCAAAGAAAATGAGGGAACAGAAATGTTTGTTTCCAAGTTTATAACAGTGGTCAGGCGAGGCCTCATGAGAAGGTGACATATCCTAAAGACCAGTCAGAGTCAAGTGGAACCGTCAGAGGAACAGCCTGCCAGACAGCAGGAACGGCACGTGCAAAGGCTCTGTGGTGCGAATCTGCTTTACCTATTGGAAAAGTGGGGAATGGGCCAGGAAAACGGGCATTTATGAGAGCAAGAGAAAAGGGGAGAGAGAGGGAACAATGTTTAAGGCATCACAGACTGAGAACTCAGGTTAAAAAATCAAGTGGATTCTTATTTTACCATTATTAAGTACAAAAACACATCAGATTGTTGAAGGGGCTCGGCAGGAGCTCCCTCGACTGCAAAGTGGGAACGTCACAACGGAGTCCCAGGTTTGCCACCCGGACCGACAAGCAGTGGGCTCCCAGGAGGGGTCCCCGCGGTTTCCATCTGGATTTCGCAATCCGGGAGACTACCGGGACTCAAGGCAGGTCCAAGGCCAGCCTTTCCATGTCGGCCAGTCCTCATCCGTCACTTCCCTCCCTCGGTCATCCCGTTATACTCCTCGTTTCAGTGTCCCGCAAAAACCTCAGACACGCAAAATAGTAACCCGTACGGAGAATGACAGAGCCGCGGAGGAGCACCGCGCAGCCTCGCGCCGCCCTCCCGGAGGAACTAAGCCCTGCCCAGACGCCACGCGCACGCGCGCCGCTGAGACTTCTGGAAGTTGTAGTTCAGTTGCGCCGAGCCCAGCGCACTTCCGGGTTAGGCCCGCAGCGCAGCCATTGTCCGATTTGCGGTCGCCTGCTGTTGTCCCGTACAGCAGCCCTTCGCAGTCAACCCCAAACGGTCTTAATAGGGTTTGGGAAAGAACTATCTCCACCCCAGTCGGACGTGCTGTAGAACCGGGACAGGAGGTCGTTAACGCGAGTCCGTCGTGTCGCCGAGCTGTGCCGGGAACTCAGGCGGGCACAGGCCGGTGAACGCCCAGGTTGGTGGGTGGGGGTTGGCGGGGGGGGACGCGACGGGCTGCGCTTGGTGTCCGATTCGCGCATGCGCAGGATCCAGGCGGCAAGCTGGAAATGGGGGTGAGTGTGGGTGTGCGTGCGGGCGTCTCAGCCTGCGGCGCCTTAGCTTAGTGTGGGAGAGGTGGTGGGGACACTGAGGCAGCGGCGCCTGAGCTCTGTGTGCTTGCGCGGTGCTTGCTCTGGTGGTGCACCTATGCTCAGGATGGTGGAAGTCAGGGCAGGTGCACGGATATGGGGGGAACCCCGGGGCGCTCAGGTTGATGACTCAATTGCAGGTTCTGTTTCTGTGCTACTACACCTATGTCCTTAAGTAGGTGTTTGGGTGGGGAGCACCGGCAGGTGGCTCCGGGACCCTGGAGCAGACGCTGCTTTTTTCCAAGACCTTGGGGACATATGCTTGGTGGAGAAATCAGGTCAAAGTTGCACGTTCTTGTCCCCAGAGAGGCCACACTGCCTTGTCCCCAGAGAGGCAGTGTGGCCGCAGCGAACTCTCGGTGGGAGACTCTGATAGACACAAGGTACCAGGAGGAGGAGGAGGTTTTCTGCAGAATGCTCCCTGCACGTGTGGGGTGTGTGTGGGGACTGTCCAAACGAAGCAGGAACTGGGCGGATTATCCCGGGACCAATGTGGATTAATGCGGAGTGCCAGGGCGTTGAAGTTTGGTGGAGACGCCGCCGGGCTGGAGGTTCAGAATCTGAGCCCAGGAAGGACGGAGCCGCACTGCTGCACTCAGATTGATTGGGGAGCCAGGACGCTACACGTGTCCTTATGAAGTAGGTGTGGCTGGAAACTTTACTTGAGTTCCTCTGCTTGTAGGCACTAGAATGCCCAAGCTGGGCCTGGAAGGGGCTGACTTTAGGTCACATTTGCGCAGGAGGAGGTAGAAGGCCCCGTTTCTATGGGAGCTCCAGCACAGGATTGAGAACCCTTAAGGTGGTGAGTGCCCAAGTCCTGGCACTGACTACTGTTTAGGTGTCTGTTGTTTTGTTTTTTTTGGTGATATTAGACATTGAAGCCAAGACCTCTTGCTTGTTAGGCAAGTGCTCTACCACTTCAGTTCTTTTGCTTTTAGAGTTTTTTTTTGGCAGTACTGGGGTTTGAATTCAAAGCCCGCTAGGCAGATGCTCTACACTCAAGCCACTCTCCCAGCCTTTTTTGCTTTAGTTATTTTTAGGTCGGGGCCCAGCCTAGCCTTGAACCTCGATCCTCCCTGTATCCACTTCTTGATTAGCCCGGATTACAGATATGCTGTTCTGGGGTTTGACTACAGGCAGTCAGTGGTGCTAATGACTTCAGGACTTGTGTGGAGGCTGTGGTATCCCAGGTAGTTTGAGGCTTAGGATGAGGAGTGCATATTCTGGTTTAAGACCCCCAGACTGGTGAAGGGCCCAGGGCCTGGATGTGGATTCTGAGTGAACCTGCACTAGGTTTGAGTGTGGCTGTGTCCTGGAAGGAGGAAGGCTGGGTGGGTGGCCCCTGTGCAGTGGCTGCTAAGCAGAGACTGGGGATCCCCTGTTTGTATCTGCAGGTTCTCATCTCGGGAGCTGTGCTCTGTGCATGCGTTGGCCTGTGGGCGGAATGGGAAGGCACTGGGCAGTCATGGACCTCAGGTAGTGCCCAAAGATGCCTGAGCTGGAGGAGGGGGAAGCTGCATGTCCAGGGCCACAGAGGGGTGGCTGTACCAGGTCCCCTCTGTATGTGAATGGGTGATTGATGGGAAACAGGAGGCTGGAAGTGGATCTTTCAGTGCTGAGTCTTCTATGGGTGTTGTTCTGGAGATACCATGATGTCCATGTTGATGGAAAGACAGGATCATCCTGAACTAGAGGTGCCCAGGAAGGTGGTAGGGAAGGAATCTGCCCAGGTGTGACTCAAGTAGGGGACTCTGGAGGGCCATAGAAGAAAGTGGGTTGGAGCCAGGCCTGGCGGGGTATGCCTGCAATCCCAGATACTTGGGAGGCAGAGGCAGGAGAATCTTGAGTCACAGGTCAGCCCTGGCAAAGTTAATGAGACCCTGTTTTAGAAACAAACAAACAAAAAAAACAAACTAAAGGACTGGGGCATGACTTAAGTGGTAGAGTGCTTGCAAGGCCCTGGGCTCAATCCCCAGTAATGCAAAACAACAACAAAAAAATGTTGGGTAGAGGATCCCAGGGCGATGTGAATGCACTGTGATGCTTGAGTGCGAATGAAGGGTCAGGGTGGTGGATAAGAGGGAGTCATAAGGTGCTGGGGAGGTGGGGTACACAGGGTGGGATTTGGCAGGGGCTGCTTGGTCTGGGGGGAGCTATCCCGACTGGCATGTGCTGGTGTTTGCCATAGGACCCCAGGCCTGCCCAGACTTTGCAGTTTCAGTCCAAGAACACGCAAGTTGATGGAGGAACTAGGTCAAAGCTCAGATTGAGGTGTCAGGGTAGGAATCTGGACTGGCAATGTTCTAGTAGGCAGTGGGGGGCAGTCAGGAGCCCATGCTTGGCTGTTTGAGCAGGGAGCGATCACAGCAGCAGTCTGTGACACGTTCCTGGAGGTTCAGGACAGGCTGATGGAAGGGCGGGTCAGCATTCACTCATCCCATTCTGGGAAGGGGTGGGTTGGTGTCAGGAGCCCCATGCATGTAGTCACTGGATTCTGGGCTTTGGTGGCCAGAGTCCTGTTGGTGGCTCTAGGAAGAAGGTGCTGGTTTGGGGTCTTGGATTCTAGTCAGGTTGAGGTAGGAGGGTATGAACTTGGGGGTCCTCCATGTGCTGGAGTTTGTGGGGAACCCAGGGCCCAGTGGAATACGGAAAGGCCTGATTGTGCTGCAGATTTGGGGGTGGGTGGAAGGCCGTGTTTGGGTACGAGATGGGCTTACAGATTGATATGGTGAAAGAGCTGGGTTGGAGCTTTAGGGGCTTGGTGTGGGAAAGGAACTGAGGGACTCTTGAGTGTGTGTGCAGATGTTTGTGCAGAATCTGCTAGAAGCACACTTACCATGGGGACGCGCAGCCTGCGGTCAGAGGTTAGTCTGGGGGCAGGTTGGCATGTGGACACAGTGCCATCAATCTGCAGGAAATGCTGTGTGATGCTGTGCTCAGGGCTCCCCTTCTCACTGCAGCTGCATCCCGCTGGGCCTGGACGAGAGCATGGAAGGACAGGACCAGAAGCCCCCGGAGCCCCTGAAGGCCTGTGTGCAGGTGAGTGGAGCCCTTGCCCTGAGAGTCCCTGGAGCTTGCTGCCACCCCGGCGCCTGGCCTGACCCCTGTGTTCTCTTTGCGGCGTTTTGGGGGCTTTGATCCCTCATAGCCATTTAACACCTGCACGCTGAACATTTTCTCAGTCTCTCTGCTCAATTCTTTATCCTTTAGTCTGAGGAAAAGCTTTCTGGGAGAAATTTGGTATGCTGAGTTAACAACTCTTAGAATACTGAGTACCTTTCACCGGGAATTTACAGCTTTGTTAGAGCTCAAACAGATGGAAGTTTCCTAAATGTGCAATGAATTCCAGATAGTTAATTGTTCAGAGTAGTTGAGTGACTTATGGCTACACCATGCTATGAAATACACTGTGGCCATCAAAACTGATATGTTGTGATAACCAGTCATATCTTTGTCTTTCAGAGAAAGATAATTATAATTTATATTAAGTAGATAGCATTTATTTAAATAATAGCATTAGGATTTTTTTTTGCAGTGCCGGGATTTGAACTCAGGGCCTCATGTTTGCTAGGCAGGAGCTCTGCTGCTTGAGCCTTTCTGCCAGCCCAGTATTATGATCAATGTTAAAAAGATAGCATTTAGCCTTTTGAAGCAGGGATATAGTTTGTGTGTCTATAGAAAATGAATTAGAAGATCATAAATACAGCAAACAATAAAAGATCTGTAAATTAAAAATTGTGATTATATGATTTTGTAAAGTGACTTATAAGTGATTTTAATTATAGGTAATTTAAAAATTACTTATCTACACTTTTGTACTTTTTGTTTGTTTGTTTCCTTTAGATGGGGTCTTGCTGTATAGCCCAGGTTGGCTTCAGACTTTCCATTTTCCTGCCTAGCCTCGCAAGTACTGGGATTGTAGGCATGCACCACCTCACCTTAGTTTTATACTTTTGTACAGTACATTTTAAGGTTAAAAATTCATAATTTAAAGCATTTTCTTATGACAAATATTCTTTGAAAATACTCATTCTCTTAACAGTGTGTTTGCACTTCTCCCCCCTTGCTGAACAGTTTAATTCCAAAACCACTAGCTGTGTGGGGATGAGCTAGGAAGGTATCTGCTGTTGAGGGGATTGCCTGCTGTGGAGGCCATGGTGTGATCTGAGTGAGGAGGACATCTGAGTGGGGTGTCCATGGAATGGCAGCCAGCCTGGTGTCAGAGCCCTGGTAAGGGAGGGAATTGTGTATACAGCAGTGGCCCTGTGGTTGGGAGAGCCCGGTTCACTCCCCACTCAAGGAGGTGGCCTTGAGTGGGGAGTGAACCCATGTGAGATGAGCCCAGTGTACGTGTGGGGAAGAGGGGATTAGGTGAGGTGAGAAGCCAGGGTGGGCAAAGGGATGCCCCAGTACTCTGTGCATTTGGAACCCAAGCGCAGCGAGCAGGTGTCCTTGCCCAGCAGGGGGTATTGGAGCTGGAGATGAGCGTTCTGCTGGGGTGGGAGTACAGCCTGGCAGGTGTGTGGAGCTTGAGCAGGCTGAGGTCCTCCAGCAGGAGGAAGTGGCATGGGTGTCAGCTGTGTAGCCTGTGGCATGCATCCACACAGCAGGTCATCCATGTGGCACGGTCTGAGTCCCAGCCCAGCAGGGCCCCTTGGCAGACGGTGACCTAATGTGGGTGGCAGAACCCCTGTGGGCGGGAGACGTCTGTGTCACAGACCTCTTTATCTCCAATACTCTTTAGATAGCACTGCTGGAAGCGTTTTTCATATGATTTCAGGGGAGGAGTTATGCAGATAGATATTTACATTTTTATTAAAAGTACAGCGAGGTTTTTTTTTTTTTTTGTGCTGGGGATTGAACCCAGGACAAGTGCTCTGCTATTTGAGCCATGCCCCTAGCCCTTTGTTTTTATTTTGTTTTTGAGACAACATCTTGCTAACTTTTGCCTGGGCTGGCCTTCAACATTGATCCTCTTACCTCTATCTCCTGAGTAGCTGGAATTACAGGTGTATGCCACCATGCTGGCATTGTTTGGGAATCTTAACGGTCTTTTCTGCCATCTTCTATGTCAGACACTGAATTAGTGGTCTGTTCATTGTGTTGCTGTGTTCATCACACGTTTACTGACTGTCTAATCAGTGTGAGGGCCTCAGGGAGTGCTGGGAGAAGGACACAGCACGCGGTCCTGCCATGCATTATTTTGCCCTCTCAGCCAGGGACACACTTCTTTTTGGTAATGGGGATTGAACTCAGACATATCTTATTCTCTAGGGCCATACACGAAAAGCAAAGCAACCCTCCTTCTGTTATCAGTATTGTATACCCCAAAACTTAGCAACTCAAAACATCCAACTAACACACACTCCCTTCTCTCTCTTTCTTTTTTCCTTTCTTCTCACACTTTTGTGTTCTGAGGTTCAGCAATCCAGGAGTGGCTTAGTTGGGCACTTCTGGAACTCAGGATCCCTCATAAGATTTCAGTCAAGTTGCAGGTCTGATAGGCCTGGCTGGGTGGGTGGATCCACTTGCAAACGCAGTTAAGGTAGTGTTGGCAAGAGGCCTCAGTAACAAACCTGCCCCCCCCACCCCGGAGGCCTCTCTCTAGGGCTGTTCCCACCATAGCAGCTACTTTCTCTCACAGCAGATGAAAGAGAGAGATGATAATGAGAGAGATATGATGATATGATAGATCTGTCTATCTACCTACCTACCTACCTACAGGAACTAATTACACAGAATCCGGATGGAAGCCACAGTGTCTTTTATCATCTGGTCTCAGAAGTGACACTGTCACATAGCCTACCTGGTACCATGTGGGTAAGGACTTCAGGCAGGGACCATTGGGGGCCATCTTAGCAGCAGGCCACCACTCTGCTCACTCTGCATGTCCTCCACTTAGTTATAATGATAGTCAGAAGATGTGTGGCCACTTGGCACAGGCCTGGTGTGTACTCTCTAGGTCCCTGGCAGAGAGAGATGCCAAGAGAGCTCAGGTCTTACTGGATCTGAGTGAAGGCCCTGAGTCCAGGGAGCTCATGTACAGAGAAATGGTTGGGTATTGGGAGGTTACCTGAGCGATTTCAGCAGCTTGTATACTTGGAAGTACCTGGGTCAGGAAAGACCCTGAGCCACTGAGCCCTTCCTGTCTTCAGGATCTGAGTTTAAAAAATCCTGTAAGGACTTTTTATGGACACTGTCCACTGTCAGTGTCAGCACCCAGAGGCCAGCAGGTTGCTGTGGTGGACAGTCCCTTCTGCATGGTTGAGGAGCGAGTACTGTTCATGCCTAGTGGTGGGTGTTGGGAGAGAGAAGTTCCTTGTGTATGAGAACTAGAGGGGACCCCCTCCTCCCCCCGGGGGCAGGGCTCTGACATTGAAGCCAGGGACCCTTCCAGCTTTGCAGTTTGGGGGCAGGGGTTCATAGAATCAGTGGTTACAAAAGTTCAGGCTCTCTGTGCGTTGGCCTGTGGATGTCTGATCACAGGAGCCAGAGTGGGAGTTCTGCCTTATGTCTCCACGGCATCTTCCTGTGTGATGCCTGTGTGGTCAAACCTCACAGACAGAGACATGTCCTCCAGGACACCTGAGGACTGAGCGCAGCTTCACTCTGGGATTCCTCAGTTACTTTGTTTTGTTGCTTTGAGCATGCCTCAAGGTGAGACGGGTGAATTCGGTCATTTCCTTATGGTGAGCAAATAGCAAGTGGCCCTTTGTTTGCTTCAACCCTGGTCCACAGGGAGGGGTGACCTCACTCTGTAATGGCTCTGCTTGTCTCTGTTCCTCTGCTTTGGGTCACAGATGCTCCCCTCTCAACCCCCATGTCACAGAGAGAGCAGTCATTGTCTTTCCATGACCTTCCCTCTGTGGATGTCAGCAGAAACATTGCTGTTCCTAGTGTGTGACAGATGCCAAGAGAAAAGGCAAGCTTTCTTTCTGACACGGGTGACTGTTGAACAAGAAGGAGCATGGAGAAGTGCTCAGAGAAGAGGATGGGGTGAGGTCTTTAATCCCCTCATGTGCCCCAGACTCTGCACACATCTCTAGTCCTTCTAAGAATGCAGAGAACTTTTTGTTTGTCTCTATTTTTTGTTTTTTTTGCGTTTGGGGACAACATCTTGCTGTGTAGCTCAGGCTAGTTTCAAACTTGCCACTCTCCTTCAGCCTTCTAGTGCTGGGATAACAGCTACCACGCTGGGCCCAGAGAACGTTTTCTTTTTTTGTTTTGGTGCTCCTTAATACTGAGGATACTGAGGACAATACAGTGATAAAGAACTGTGGTTCTTTTTTTTTTTTTTATTTATTTTTTTTTTTTTATACTACTGGGGATTGAACCCAGGACCTGGCAAGTGCTTGACTGCTTAAGCTGTGTCTCTAGCCCTTTTGTTTGTATTTTGTTTTTGAGATAGGGTCTCACTAATTTTCCTGGGCTGGCCTTGAACTCAAGGTCCTCCTGCCGCCACTTAGCTGGGATTACAGGGGTGCATACCACACCAGTCTAAGAACTGTGGTTCCTTATGGTATCAAATTTAGGATTCAGGGAGAGATATGGAGAGATGGAAATAATATGAGGAGAATCATTTTACTGGTATAGAAAAGATCTGGGAAAGACAGGTAAATCTTAAGGGATGCATAGATGGGGCTTTGTGCTATTTGGGGACACTTCCTGGAGGAGGTGTCATTTGCTCTGGGTCTGCAATGGTCAGTCAGACTTTAACCCATGGAACAAGGGAAAGAGGAGGAGTTTGTATCCAGCAACCAGTGGACTTAGGTGGATTTGCTCAACTTTTGTCACCTTTAATTTCTTGGCTTTGAAATAGATACATCACTCCTTCAGATTTGCTTAGAGGATTTTGTGAGATATTCTGTGGTGAAATACTGCATATATTTTAGTTTATATGTATATTTGTCATCATGCAAGTGATAGATGATGTTATCTGAAGGAAATCATGAAAGCAAGGAAGTAAATCCAGGAAGCATTCCTAAAACTCTCAGGAATCCAAAATAGATCTATGGAAAAAGAGACGAGTACTGGAGATGTAGCTCAGTAATAGAGTACTTGCCTAGCGTGTGCAAAGCCCTGGGTTCAATGCCCAGTGAAGGACGGAAGGAGGGAGGGAGGGAGAAAGGAAGGAAGGAAGGAAGGAAAAAAAAGATGGGAGTGTTTTACTTACTTAGTGACAGGTGGCTCTTGAGCATTTACTTGTGAGAACAAGTGAGGTGCAGGTTCTGGAGGCTGGTGCTTTGAACTTTCTGAGGGGAAAAGTCTCCATCTCAGGTTTCCTCTAGCCAGAGGAGGGACTTGAATTGAGTAGTGCTTTGGTGCCTTTAGGGACCACAGGGACCAATGCCAAGGCTCAGACAGCATGTTCCATGTCCCTCTTTCTCAACAATGCGCCTTAGATTGAACCCAGGGCTTTTGAAATAGTAGATGCTAGGCGAGAGGTCTGCCACTTTAGCCATGTCTCTCCTCCCAGCCCTTTTTGTTTTAGTTTTTGGCAGTACTGGGGTATGAAATCAGAACCTCATTCTTCCTAGGCAGGCACTGTACCACTCGAGCCACTGCACCAGCCTGTTTTGTTCTGTTTGGTTTGCAGTGCTGGGATAGAACCCAGGACCTCACACATGCTGGGCAAGCTCTGTCCACCAAATATCCAGAGGTGTGTTTAGGTTTGGAGAAATACCATCCTGCCTTTATTCACACGGGTGCCAGCCCCTTTCACTAACACTGTGCACTGCATTGTGGAATTGCACAGCTATGAGAATGCAGCTGTTTGCATGTAGCTTTCGATTCAGTCTTCTGCATAGTTGAGCTATTATCAAGAGTCAACAGCACTTGCCTTTCAGTGTTTGAAGATTTCGGAAGGAGCAGAGTAGACTTGCTACAAACTCCCTGCCATTGGACAGATTGAGTTATTGTGACTTTCAGGAAGAAACCTCAGGAAACTACAAAGGAATGATCTTGTTTGAAGGTGGTCCTGGGGTTTGAACTCAGGGCTTAACACTTACTAGGCAGGTATTCTGCCACTTGAGCCATGCCTCCATCCCTTATCTCTGGTTATTTTGGAGATAAGGTCTTGAGTTTTATGCAGTCTGGCCTGGTCCATGATTTTCTTCTTTTATACTTCCTGCTGGAGCTGAGATGACAGGCTTACACCAGCATGCCCAGATTTTCTTCTGCTGAGATGGGGTCTTGTGTACTTTTTTGCCTGAGCTGGCCTTGAACTGTGACCCTCCTGAATTTGGCCTCCCAGGACCTGGGATGACAGGCATGTGGCACCATACCCATCTGTTGGTTGAGATGGTGTCTTGCAAACTTTTTGCCTGGCTTGACCTCAAACCATGATCTTTTCATTTCAGCCTCCTGAGTTAAGTAGGATTACAGGCATGAGCCACTGTACCCAGCTTAAAGGTAATTTTTCAAGAAAAAAACACTGATTTCTGAATGTTGAACTCAAGAATATAAATGCTACTGAAAAAGATGACTACAGCTGGGCGCCAGTGGCTACACCTGTAATCCTAGCTACTAAAGAGGCAGAAATCAGAGGGATTGAGGTTCAGTGCCAGCCCAGGCAACTAGTTCGAGAGACTCCATCTTGAAAACACCGAAAACAAAACAGGGCTGGTGGAGCGGCTCAGCAGTAGAGTGCCTGCCTATCAAATGTGAGGCCCTGAGTTCAAATCCCAGTACTGTATTATTCATCTTAATTTCTTTACTCGACAGTATATTATAGACATCTTTCTGTCATTTATTTGTTTCAGTACATGTAGACCTATCTCTTTTTCTCTTGGTTGCTAAACAGTACTTGGTTCTCTGGATGAAGCAGAATTTATTTAGCCAGGCACTTACCAGAACATTTAACCCCCTCCCACTTTTGCTACAATCATTTTATCTTTTAGTGAGATCTCTTATACCTACATCTAGATGTAGGAAAAATACAAATACATGTAAGTGTGGTCTATTGTGCTTCTTTAAAAATATTATCACTAAGAAACAAAAATAAAAATAATGTGCTTAAAAACTGATGAAATCTGAATAAAGTCTGAGTTACTAGTATTGTACCAATGTCCAGTTGCTTCTTTTGATAATGTGTATGATACGGTCATTAGGAAAGCTGAGTGGGGTTCTGTTTTTCTGTTGTCTTGTGGGTCTTTAGTTATTTAAAAATAGGACACTATGTGTTTGAATTCAGCCTCATGGTTTGTAGGCAGGCACTCTACCACTTCAGCCATGATCCCAGCCTTATAATAAGACATTAAGTATAAATATAAACACGTAGCCAATCCAGCAAGGTTGTTTGGCTTATATGTCTACAAGAATATATGAAGTTCTCGCCAGTGGGCTGCCAGAGCTGGAGTCGTTACTTAGCAACAGAGTTAGGACTATAGTGAAACAGTCTGCACAGTCCAGGATGTTGGTCATGTACCAGGGCTTGAAGAATTAAGTACAAAGGGAATCATGGGAGCCAAAGAAAGAAGGTTCCTCCAGCTGCTCATGTGATAAAGATTTGGTGGCACTACTGGGAAGTGGTGGAACCATTAGGAGCTGGGCCCAGCAGAAGGAAGTTAGGTCACTGGGGATGTGACCTTGAAGGGGATGCTGAGACCCTGGCTCTTTCCTGTCTCTCTTTGCTTCCTGACCACCATGAGTGAGCATGGTGTTCCACCATCCACTCCCTGCCATGGTGTGCTGTACCACCATGTGATTCTGCCTTTGGTCGTGCTGTAGTCCATTCATTTGCTTACATTCTGTGATGCAGGAGTTTAGGCAGGATGACTCTTGCTGCACATGGCAGTGGGGCTTCCTGGAAGATCCACAGAGACCTCAGACCCATGTCTGGGGCCCTTCTGTTCCAGGTGTCCCTTTCTCATGGTTTACAAGAAGGTTGTTAGGCAGGATGTTAATGCAGTTGCTATGTCAAATTCTAGCTGCCTCTCAGTGGGAGTTTTGAGCTAAGACTCGGTTCCCTGATTCTTTTCCTTTTTCTCCTCTGTTCCTCCTTCTTAGGATTCTCTCCTTCCCCAAGAGATCATCATCAAGGTTGAGGAGGAAGATGCTGAGTCACTGGCCATCCCGCCCCAGGTGAGTTGGGCAAGGCTTCTTTCCTTACATGGAGAAGCGTGCATGGCTGGTCAGGGATAGAAGTGAATTGAAAGGAGCTGGGGAGTGTAGAGAGTGAGGAAATGAAGGGAAGAGTGTGTGGCTTTTCCAGGAAATTCGGTCATTGTGTAAAAGACTGACAGGGAGAGCTGCGAGGATACTTGAGATTGAGGAGTTATTTTCTCTAAGAGTTTGAGAAAATTTGACTCTATTGAAGTGGCTACAGGAAGGAGTGAGTGGAAAAAAAGAAGCTAGCAATCAGGACCAGAGGAGATCAACTGTAAAGCAGAACTGTTGATTAATACCAGGGACACGGCAAATGTGAATCCCTGGGTCTGTATTCAGGACATTATCATCTAGGAAGAATGAGGTTGGGAGAGTTATCTGAAGGCCTGGATTTTCTCTGTGAAATACTGGATTTGGAGTGGAGAAAGTTTGAAAAGGGTGCAGAAAGCTTACAAGCATAAGTTTGGGCTGAGTGCCTGTGGCTCACGCCTGTAGTCCTAGCTACTCTGGAGGAAGCTATCAGGAGGATCAGGGTTTGAGGCCAGCCATGGGCAAATAGTTCGAGACCCTATCTTGAAAAAATCCAACACAAAAAAGGGCTGGTGGAGTGGCTTAAGTAGTAGAGCACCTGTCTAGAAAGTGTGAGGCTGTGAGTTCAAACCCCGGTGCCACCAAAAAAGCAAAAAGCACATCCCTCTCCCCCATAATTTTAGATTATAACAGAATAAGCTGCCCCAGTAGGTATAATCAAATTGCTGTTTGCTCACAAAGAATCATGGGGAGACAGTAACTATAGATTTATAACTGTCCAGCTGCTTTTGTGGCTTTTCTTACCTGGGGCAGTTTGTGACCCACTTTCTGTCGATAGTACATTGACTTTCAAATCCAGTGAGTTTGTAACTTGCCACATATGTGCAGTGGAAGCTCCATAGGCCAAGGGAATATTTGAAAGAGAATTTTTAAATGTATCAAGTGGAGAAATGAAAATAAATGAAGTGAAATGGATGAAAGTGAATAATTAAGATGGAAAGATACAGCTAAAGAAGGCACCGCACAGAAAGGAAAAGAACAGAGACCTTTGGATGGCAGTATAGATGTCCCAAAGTCATCACAGAACAAGAGCAGTAAAGGGAGAGCCAAGGCAGTAACAGGAGCAATTTGGTGTGTGGTCGGAGGGTGTCACAGATGTGTCATTGGAGAGATGGAGTGTGTTATGGGGTGTCACCAGGGAGTGGTCTTGGAGTGAGCAGCTCCAATACCCGAGAATTGGGCTGTTCCTAGGAACCGATGACCATAGCATCCACAGACCATCTGTGCTAAGGTTGCCAAGAAACTGAAGCAAACACCCAGAGGCGGTGTGCAAGACAGATTTGCTGAAATGTAACTAAAGGGGAGCTAACAGAGGAGGTTCACTTACCAATGGGGAGTCCAGTGTGATAGGCTGGACAGGAAGCTCCCCCGTCCCTCATGGTGCCTCACCAATCATGCTTACTTCTCATACAGCACCATGCTGGAAGGTTCAGTGGTGGCTGCTGGACCCAGAGGACTAGTCCACTCCACAGTTCTTCTTTATGGCTCTGCTGACCACAGGTCAGGGGTTTTATAGGTTAGATGATATAAGCATTGGCATAATAAGCTTACTTCCGCTTTGTTCAGGACGCAGGTTCCCTCCATTGGGTTCCCAGTGTGCTTGTGAGGAGTTAACTTTATCTGAACATTTTAGATTGGGCCCTCCTGGCTCAGATCAATTCCTTGGCTTGGCTGGAGCCCTGGGAATGGAAAGGGGTATATCAGAGATACGACATTTGGTGTCCTGCTTTTCTCAGGGATCATACAATGACAGAACACAGTGTCTGCCATCATGCAGCCTTGAGGTTGCATCCCAGCTACCAGCCTTAGGTATATGTCTTCATTTCTCTTCCTTGTTCTTCGTATGAAAATGGTGCTGCTCATAGTATTTTCTTACAGGAGCCTTGTGAAAATTAAGTGTATGATAATCCATGTGACCAGTTAGCCCACTGTCTGACACCACACTGGTGCTTCTAAAAGTTCTTAGGTATCTCATTAAGGTCAGTTATTTTTATCACTATCAGGTGAATATACCAATGATGCTGTAGACAGTGCAAGACATGACAATGTAAATTGTTTTAGTAGAGGGTGTGATCCTAGGTGTGAGTCTTCATGGATGGGGTGGTGGGATCTGAATTGTGGTTAGGACAGAGCTGTAAGAAGTGAGGAGAGTGACATGAATCTCAGTGTGACCAGGAGATGATCCACGATGACAGAGTGTGGTCAGTCTTATAACAAAAGTCCTTGGAGCTCTGCAAGGGGGGTGGAGTGAGGGGTATAAATCTAGACTACTGTTATCTATTTGATATTTAAACATGCTTGACCCCAGTGGCATCTGCATTAAATAGCAAAGGCAAGTGTTCATTAAAGGGAAGCTGGATTAAGGGTCAAAAATGCTATCCTAGAGATCTGTGTTCAGCGCAGGTGGCAGTTTTTAACTGTATTTCTGAATCCCATTTTGGGCTTATCATGAAAACCTTTAAGATTTTGGTGAAATTTATGTCCTCCCCTCCCCCCCACCACTTTAGAAAAATGCAGCAGCCTTTTGCATGTGTTTTCATGGGATTCAGGACCATGTATCCCACTTGGGAACCACAGCTTATGCAAGCCTGTTCTACTTAAAGAGCTTTTAGTTGCAAGAAGCAGTTGACTCCTTGGTATTTGCTGTTTTTGGGTGAGGACAGGTCACACTTAGCACTTTTTTTTTTTTTTTTGGATTAGAATATCTTGGAAAGGCATTCTTTTCTTAGAGGAGGCAGCTCAAGCCTAATTGATAAGGCAGTAATGACAGTGACTGTCTCCTAAGAGGTCCTGTCCTGAAGCTTTGCATGTTGACAGAAATAGAGCGAGCATCTGAAGACAAAGGGTTTAGGATAAATGACATTGACTGTCATTTAGTCTTTCAGAGCTCTCAGACCTAATAATAATAATAATAATAATAATCACCAGCTTTTGTTGTTGATTTAGTAAACTTTACAGTACAGTGAATTCACTAAACCTTCTGAGGGGGTGTGATTATGCCTAATAAATTCACCATTAAAAGACAGGTTGTCAAATTACAAATTTTGTTTACCTAATTATTGTTGAAGTAAGTTGATATAATTGTAGTAAAACTCAGAATTCAGAATTCTGGTTCAGATAGATGTTCTTTAAAGGTGAGAAAATCCAAGACTGTTCTTCTAAGTCCTGTGCTCTTGAATTATACCTGTTGTCTTTCATTGAGGCTTATCTATCACCTTCTGTCTCATAGCCTGTGGACCAAATCTTATCCACTGCCTGTTTTTTAAAATAAATTTTTACTGTAATATAGCCTCATCCATTTATTTATATATTTTCCATGACTTCTTTCTTGTTATATAGTAGCATAGTTGAGTAGTTGTGATGGAGACTGTATGACCTGCAAGGCCTTTGACAGAAAAAAATTTGTTCACCCTTGTTCTGTTAGTTTCTTGGGAATTTAGAGGGAATATCTAAGTGGAAATTCACCAGTGCAAAATTCATAATAAACATTTTGTTTAAAGTAGACAAGAGAGGAAGCAAATTATATCAGTTCTTATCTGGTGTTCCTCTTTGAGGTTGTTAAAACTGATTCAGCATCCAAAACCCAAAACCCATTTGTATACTTTGACTAGAATCCTTTGAAAACTGACAGTCTCAAGATAATTTCCAGGTCATTAGATTTTTCTACTTCCTGTCAAATGTTTCCTCCTCCATGGACATCTATAAGAAATGATGCCCATCTGAGCAAGAATTTGTGTCCTGTTTCAGGAGGGAATAAACTTGAAAATTGTTACTGTGGACTTCACTCAGGAGGAACAGAGCACTTGGAACTCCGCTCAGAGGACCTCAGACAGAAATGTGGTCCTGGAGAACCACAGGGGCCTGATCTCTTGGGGTAAGCACATAATCCCCCCTTACTTAAGGGGTGTCTACTGAAATGTTTCACATCCCCTTTAAGAGCTGTGGGCTTCAACAACCAGAATACTTTGACCATACACAGATTGTATTTGTGCTTTTTATTTCCCAGTGAATGTTAGCTTGGATTTGTAGAGTAGATAAGGTAGTTTCTTGATTTTGAGTTTTTCAGCTCATGGTTTCTAAAGGCCAAAGGCTGCCACCAGGTTCTGTAGTGATTTTCTTAACTCTTTTCCCCATCAGTATCTCAAGCCAGAGGAGCAAGGGGAAGAATACAAAGAGAGTTTCCCAAGACTTATGTCCAGTTTGAGAACCAGACACATAGGCATCATTACAGGTGTAGAAAGTATGTTTGAGAAGTCCCTGTAGGATGCCACTTTCCCCCATATCCTGATGGAAGGTCCAGATGACCACTTTTTCCTGTTGTTATCTCCACTGTATTACTTTTTTTTTTTCTTTTTTTTTTTTTTTTTATTATTCATATGTGCATACAAGGCTTGGTTTATTTCTTCCACTGTATTACTTAAATGCCACTCAGGCTTCTGCCTCTGAGCAAACCTATATTCTTACTCAGTTGGAATCTCAGGAAACCATGGGGTCACATTAGCCTATAATGTATTTAGAGAACTGGGATAGTAGTGCACATTCCTTTTTCTGGGTTCACAAAGTAGTTTGCTCATGTTTTGACTTTCTAGTAAGTTGCACACCTCCAGAAATTCCTACAAATGTAGGTACTAACCCATTTTAGTGAACATGTTTAGCACTACTGAGGATGGAAAGGATCTTCTGCTGCATTTCTAAGGATTTCAAAATTGGGTTGAGAACCTGTACGTGATCTTATTTTGGAATATGTAGGTACTTGGCATTCAAAGTCTTGCTTATTCAGACAAAACTAAGGTAAAAGTAGTTTCATTTGAAGGCCCTGTTGTGCTCCGAGGCTGTATTTAATACTAATTCCCACTTTTTTGCCTTCTCAACCCAGGTTATAGGTCCACAAATGAAAACAAATCCACATATATTTTGAATTTTATCCCACTGTTCCAGCTCTAAAATTTTTTTGTCTAGAGTGTCTTGTTTTGCTTTCTTCCAGACTTGGCAACTGCACTTGGAAGAAGTGAATCAACCTCAAAGCAGAGCATTTTTGATGAAGAATCACCCCATGGAGTGAAGATAGAAAGGTTAACAAGAGATGGTCCTTGGCTTTCTTCCTGTGAAGACATTTGTGATTGCAAGGATCAAGTGGAGAAGCAGCAGGAAAAACAAGAGAAACTTTTTCAGAAAGTGGCATTCACTCAAAGGAAAGCTGTAATTCATGAGAGAATCTGCAAAAGTAATGAACTGGAAGAAAAGAGTGGTCTGAATTCCAGTTTTATTTCGCTCCCGATGATACCCATAAGAAACCATTTTCATAAACATTTATCACATGTTAGAAAATTGCATTATAGTTCTTGTGCAAGCAATCATCAGAACATTAATGACAGTGATAAAATGTGTGAAAACAATGAATTTGGAAAGACCCCTCAGAACATTCACCTCATTCACTTTACAAGAACTTCAAAGAGAGATAAATCCTGTGAATTGAATGACAGTATTCAGCCCTTTACCCATGGTACATCTCTAAGTATACATGAAAAAATTCATGCAGGAGGTAAAACCTTAGACTTTAAGGAATGTGGGCAAGTTTTGAACTGTGATATATCCCTTGAACAACAGAGAATGACTGTTGAGCAGAGTCAATATAAATGTAGTATAACATCTCCCCTTGTTCAAAACACAAGAAACCATTCTGAAGAGAAACCCTTTGAGTGTAATCAGTGTGGGAAATCCTTCAGCTGGAGCTCACACCTTGTTGCTCATCAGAGAACTCATACAGGTGAGAAGCCTTATGAATGCAATGAATGTGGGAAATCCTTCAGCCGAAGCTCACATCTGGTTTCCCACCAAAGAACACATACTGGAGAGAAGCCCTATAGGTGTAACCAGTGTGGCAAATCCTTTAGCCAGAGCTACGTCCTTGTGGTGCACCAGAGAACTCACACTGGAGAGAAGCCTTATGAGTGCAGCCAGTGTGGGAAGTCATTCAGGCAGAGCTACAAACTTATTGCACATCAAAGAACTCATACTGGAGAGAAGCCCTATGAATGTGATCAGTGTGGGAAATCGTTTATCCAGAGTTATAAACTTATTGCACATCAAAGAATTCATACTGGAGAAAAACCCTATGAATGCAACCAATGTGGGAAATCCTTTAGTCAAAGTTATAAACTTGTAGCCCATCAGAGGACTCACACAGGAGAAAAACCTTTTGAATGTAATCAATGTGGGAAATCTTTCAGCTGGAGCTCTCAGCTGGTAGCACATCAAAGAACACACACTGGAGAGAAGCCCTATGAGTGTAATGAGTGTGGGAAGTCTTTTAACCGCAGCTCCCACCTTGTTATGCATCAGAGGACTCATACTGGAGAGAAACCTTATGAATGTAACCAGTGTGGGAAATCCTTCAGCCAAAGTTATGTTCTCGTAGTGCACCAGAGGACTCATACTGGAGAAAAGCCCTATGAATGCAGCCAGTGTGGGAAATCCTTCAGGCAGAGCTCATGCCTTACTCAACATCAGAGAACTCATACGGGGGAGAAGCCCTACGAATGCAACCAGTGTGGGAAAACATTCAGCTTGAGTGCTAGACTTATTGTACATCAGCGAACTCATACTGGAGAGAAACCCTTTACTTGCAATCAGTGTGGGAAAGCTTTCATCAACAGCTCTAAACTTAGTAGGCATCAGGCAACTCATAACGAAGAGAAGCTGTATGAGTATAACTAGCATAGAATCCTTCAGGCAAAATGTATTCCTTTTACTTCCATACTTTCAAAAATTTGTTTTTGTGAGAGTGCATTTAGTGGGAAGAACTAATATAAAAACAATGTACATGGAAAAACTTTTGTTTATCCTTGCTATTGTATACCTGGAAATTTGTTCTAAAGAAGAAAAGGGGTGGGGAAGTCTATGAATTATATTTAAATTTGGCAATTCCACATGCAAAATTACCTTGGGCCAGGTGAGGTGGTGCATCCCTCTAATCCCAGCAATTCAGAGGTGGAAGCAAGCAGATGGTGAGTTTGAGGTCAACCTGGGTGACATAATGGGACAGTGTCTCAAAGAAAAATTATACTTGGCTCTTGTGAGCATTCCTGCAAAGTAATAAACACACTTTCCTTTGCAGAAAGCACTCAGACATGAGTCTTAGAAAACTAGTGAGGTAGCTCTCAAAAAGTAAATGAAATGCCCTCACAGGTGGATTTGCAGTAGGGAAGATGGTTACAGTTTTTAGAAGTTAGGCTGGAAAACAATATTTCAGTTACCATTTTTCATTTAGGTAGTTTGCAGTCTTTTTGGCATAGCACTGTTCATTACAAATTGAGGAATTTCTACAATTAGGACATGGCTATGGCGTGGGAATGAAAAATGCTGGGAAACATAGGGAAGTATTCGTTTTTAGTAACACTGATAAAACATTTGTGTGTGAATCTGAATACAAAGGAATTATGTTTTTACTTGATATTTTGGTTTATGTCAGGTCTTCCTTTTTGGCATGTATGCTGTTTTGCTATAATACATGATATGGTGAGTAAAAATTGGTTAAAAACAAAAGAGAGACAAAGCTTTCCATTTTGTTTGAGTGTCTAGGAAAGACTGAGCAACCAGATGTCAGTTATCCCCATGTTTCTGAGGTCTCTATTTGACTTAGAATGAAATGGTTGCCCTGTAGGGATATTGAGAATAAAATTGTACTTTGGGAATGGGTAACTAGAATTTATACCAGAAATGCCAGAATGGGATTGAGAATTCATGGGCAGTATAGAGGCTAATTTTTTTCCTGTGTCCAAGGCAGTATAAAGGGGTCGTATTTTCCAGTGGACTTCCTTCCCCTCATGTAGCACTGTGTCTTCTGCTTCATTTTCCCTAATAGGAGAGCCCTTGAGTGGGAGTGTGTGCTTTAGCTAAGTGCTGTTCACCTAAGTGAAGCTTGTGAGAATGCATTTAGTCAGGAAACTTTGAGGCACTTTTTGATTTTTAGGATATGTCTTTCTGACCTTTGTCCCTAAATCATGAATTCTAATCCTGTAAATTCCCATGTGCCTAAAGCCTCCCTGAAATGTAATAAAAATAGGCTGAGAGTTGAATGGAGAGGCTAGATGCTATAGGTAAATTCCAGGAGAAAAGAAAACCCAATGTGACATCTGAGAGGGGTTACTCTTAGTAAAATCCTGTACCCATGTGATGACTGACCCCTGGGAGCCATCTGTTTGAGGATTACACTAGAGTGTGTTGTACCCCTGGCACTCAGGAGGTCTGGGGGAATGATTGTTGATGGTTGGAAAACTGGTTCCCACCCCAGGAAAATATCCTGTCAGTCCATGAGTGCAGATAGAGAAACAGCAAGGAATCTCCATGCATTGGCTTTTGGACAGGGCAGGAAACTGTGGAAAACCCCGAGTAACATGGTGACGAAATCACCTTCCCAAATTACAGACTAAGCCAGCTTCAGTGCTAGGTACACGTGGCTGACTTTTCCTTGGTATGTTGAATCCTACTTTGAAGGAAGGAATCTCGATTGTACAAATGACCATAAAGTCCAGTGGACTAAACATGAGGGATCTGAGGAGTCAAGTTTTGGAAGTTATTTATTTAAAAGGAATTTTGCAGTAAATGTTGAAAATATTTTATAGAGGATGAAATTTGTGAAGATGCAAAAACACTTTGAAGCCTTTGTAAGTGTTTTTGTGTGTGAGTGTGAGTGAGTATGTGTCCCCACTACCTGGCTAGGTTGACTGTATGAGTCATCCATGTGTGTTATCATAAACATACCAGTTCCTGGATGGTGATTTATGATCACCAAGTGTTTTGAGGTTATTAAGCACTAAACAAAAATTCTAGGGTAATTTCTGTTACTTAAAATTTCCCTTTGCAAGAAATGTATTATAGTTATAAAGTGGTCAACCCAAAATAAAGAATAGTGTCATCCTGCAAAAAAAAAAAAAAAAGTTATTAAACTTCTAAGTCTAAAGTTTAGGGTTAAAAGATGGGGAACCACTAGCTTGATGTTAATGACATATTACTAAAAATATGCACACACACAACAGGTTGAACATCGTACCCATCCTAAAACCTGAAATTCTAAATACTCTAAAATCCAAAATTTTTTCGATTTTTGAGTGCCAACATGATTTGACAAATAGAAAATTCCACTCCTGACCTTATGTGACAGTCACAACACAGACACTTAAAATACTACTGTATAAAATTACCTTCAGGCTGTATGTGTAAGGTACATATGAAAAATTAATTTCGTGTTTAGACTTGGGTCCCATTCTTAAGATACCTCATTAACCCGGAATTCCAAGATGGCAGCTAGAGGTAGGAAGCAGAAAGCGACCCTCCTATAGTGAAATCTTGGAGAGACGCTGGAGACACACTTTGCAGGCATAATCACCGAGAAAAGGCATAACTTTGACCCCTCCACATCTCCAGCTGGTGCAGAGAATCTCCACTCCACGTTAAGCGGAGAAACGAGGAGGGCTTCCGGGGCCGCCAGTGGCCGGCGCCCATATGGCTTGGGAAGACACGGACCAGGTGAGCTTCGCGGTACCGCAGTAGCCCCACAGACAAGCCTGGGCCAGAGCAGCATAGCCCCCTGGACAGACTGACCTCCACCCGGGGAAAAAAAAAGAGAAACTGAGTAATAAGCAATAAGAACAGTTAAGACACGCGGGAAAGAGGGTGGGGCGCCCTGAGCGCTGAAGATTGGGGGAAGGGAATCCTTCCCAGGACTGTAAATAAACAAGCCAGGTGGGCCGGAGAGCCTCTGGCGGGAGCGGGGTGCGCGCCCAGCAACCAGGAGCGGGGAAGCTTGTGAGAGTGGAGGAGGGAAGACCCACTTTCCACGTGAACTGTAAACAAACATGGCGGCCGGCAGGAGCAGCAGCACCGCCCAGTAAGCAGGAGCAGGAAGGCTTCTGAAAGTGGCAGTGGGAGGAAAACTTCAGAGGAGAGGGGGGAAGCCCCACCTCCCACATGAACTGTAAATACGCAGGCCTGACAACGTGGGGGCAGTGTCACCTTTCCCAGTGCTTGGAAAGGGGAAAGCCTGTAGCAGAGGCTCATGCACAGGAGAACTCTGAGCAAACAAAGCCTGTGGGACCAGGTGAGTGCTAGCTCACCCCAGAGATCTGCATAAATAACGCCGCCAGCTACAGGCTGAGAGCAGCAGGCAGGCAAGCCACAGTTGCAGATACCACTCTCAGAACTGTCTCCAGACGCTTTTTTTTTTCTCCCTACCTTTGATGAGAGAACAACCGAATTACACCTGCAAGCCGAAAAACTTACTGAAACTGTATTGCATTTGAACTGGGGACACTTGGTGGGGCTTTTGTGTGTGTGTGTGTGAGTGTGTAGTTTTGTTCTACTTTATGCATCCCCTTTGATGAGACAACTACAGAACAACATCTGAGGCACCAACTCCAGGACTGGAGATTGAGACGGACACCCAAATTATTAAGACTGAAACTGCATTGCATATAAACTTGGAAGTTTTTTGGTTTTTTTTTTTAATTTTCTATTTTCCATTTTATTTTAATTCATTTTTAATTCATAGATATTACTTTCATTTACTTATTTTTTATTTTTTTATCTTTGGTTTTCAATCCTCTCTCTGTCTCTCTAATGTCTGTTCAGCTTACTGTCAATTAGTACACTAACACTCCCTGTTTATACCTTTGAAACTCTCTTGTCTGATACCTTGTTCTGCTTTCTCCCTCTTGTCTGTATATTTGTTTTCCCCTTTTCTTTAACTTCTTGCTTTCCATCTCAGCTCACTCTTCCATTCTAAATATTACCATTGTTATTATTACAAGCTAGAAAATACTTAATTACACACAGTACAGGGACAGTAACAACACCAAGGACAATGAGGAAGACAGAAAAAACAGGGAAACCAGTTTCCCCACAGCAAAAAATTAGTACAGGAACCAGAGGGGAATGAAAAAAACAGAAACTCAGATCCAGACTCCAACAAAATGAAGATAAACTATGCCAAAGGACCCAATGAAGCCCACAAGAATAATTTAAAAGAAGACATACTACAAGTACTCAATGAGAATTTTATAGAGATGATACTGGATAGGGTCAACCAAAATGTACAGGAGACACTCAAGAAATTCCAAGACAATAAAAATAGAGAATTTGAAAAAGCAAAAGAAGAAATAAAGGAAACCATAGAAGCACTGTATAAACACCAAAGTGAAAGAGAGAACACAATGAATAAATGGATAAATGAACTCAGGACAAAAATAGACAACAACAAAGAAGAAAACTGCCAGGATATGGAAAACCTCAGAAAAAAGAACGAAACAGAACTGCAAAACAAAACGGAAGGCCAATCCAGCAGAATAGAACAAACAGAAGACAGAATCTCAGAACTTGAAGATGAAATGGTAATTAAAGGAAAAACCGAAGAACTATTAATTAAACAACTCAAGACCTGTGAAAAGAAAATGCAAGAACTCACTGACTCCATCAAAAGACCAAACTTGAGAATCATGGGCATCGAAGAAGGAGAAGAGGTGCAAGCGAAGGGAATGCGTAATATATTCAACAAAATAATAACGGAAAATTTCCCAAATCTAGAGAAAGATATTCCCATACAGACACAAGAGGCCTCCAGGACACCAAACAGACCAGATCAAAATAGAACTACTCCACGACATATCATCATTAAAACAACAAGTTCAGAAACTAAGGAAAGAATATTGAAGGCTGTAAGAGAGAAAAAACAAGTAACATACAAAGGTAAACCCATCAAAATCACAGCAGACTTCTCAACAGAAACATTAAAAGCAAGAAGAGCGTGGGGTGAGATCTTCCGGGCACTGAATGAAAATAACTTCAACCCCAGGATACTCTACCCAGCAAAGCTATCATTCAAAATAGATGGAGCAATAAAAGTCTTCCATGATAAGCAGAAACTAAAACAATATGTGACCACAAAGCCACCATTACAAAAGATTCTGCAAGGGATCCTGCACACAGAAAGTGACACCCAACTTAACCATGAAAAGGCAGGCAGCACCAAACCACAGGATAAGAAAAAGCAAGACAGTAGAGAGTAACATCAAGTTAGGTACACACAATCAAACCTTCAAACAACTAAGACAACTAAATGGCAGGAATCACCACATACCTATCAGTACTAACGCTTAATGTTAATGGACTTAATTCACCCATCAAAAGACACTTTGACAAAATGGATTAAAAAAGAAGATCCAACAATTTGTTGCTTACAGGAGACTCATCTCACCGACAGAAATAAGCATATGCTTAGGATGAAAGGCTGGAAGAAGATTTACCAAGCCAATGGCCCCCGAAAACAAGCAGGAGTAGCAATACTTATCTCTGACAAAGTAGACTTCAAACCTACA